GATTGTTTTTGGAAATTATGCTCAGCACTTTTACGGGTCGACCTTCTTTGGTCTTGGCCGTAAATGGATCTCTGAAATTTGAAAAAAGGCAAAATATTAGAAGGGCGGTTACTGTAACAAGACAGAACCAGGGTTTTTTACTCCTGACCAATATCTCTCGGTTATTATGTCTGCCACATGCTTTCATATCGTGGCTACACCGTACCGCGGTACTTGCTCCGCTCGCGCCACATTCACGACCTCACTCCAGCGGTCGCGCGTCGTGCTTCACCACTTCGCACCGGAGTGCTAGGAGCAGCGGCTGACCCGGGGGAGCGCATCGGTTAGCGCGATTGTTTTTGGACATAATGCTCAGCACTTTTACGGTCGAACCTTCTTTGGTCTTGGTCGTAAATTGACCTCTAAAATTTGAAAAAAAAAGTAAAAAGAAAAAAAGGGCTGTGCTATAAAACGAAGGAAAAACGCGGGTCTATATTTGCATCAATATGTAGGTCAAGCTTGTTCCTGTGCAGAGTGGTCAATCGAAAGGGCAGTGAACTTTAATTCAAATCTAATCCGAATGCCGCTAAAGCGCAGCATCACTTTTAAAGCAGAAGTGTAGATATTTCTAATTTTCTGGGGTGGCTGCTTTTGGCAACTTACGAAATTAAAATCTTGAGTTCGGTGTTCATAAACCTTGGGGAGACTTTTTTTTATTGACAGACATTTTAGTGGATGTGATGATTTTTGCCGGCGTTTTGCGGGAATCAAATTTGCCGACTAAATTAACTACCAAGAGTAAAAAAGGGAGGAAGAGAGAGTCGTTATCTCAACTTACGTGTAGCACTATGTTTCATTGTTCAGTCATTTTTTTTAAAATAACCATTGTAAAGGAAGCCTACTCTGACCTAAACCTTACCTAAAAAAATAGGAACAAAGAAATGTGTTTTTTTGGTGTCCCGTTTATTCTTATTACAAAATAGAATAAGCAAGATGCTTCAGTATCAAAGAAAAACCCTCTTTTACTATCAGAAAGGAACTAATTTAGCGATGCAATAACATTTTCATTTTCAAATGACATGCTAACAAATGTTGATTTTTGCTCCAGAAGTGTGAATGGTTGCTCCGAGCCAATATTTCGCCTGCTACGAAACCTGATGCAAAAGGTCCAATGCCGCTTCTATCACTGTTTTAGTAAAAGAGATGTGTCCACAGTGAACAAAGTCCGAAAAAAGCATAAAAAGAATCTTTTTCCTTTATATTTCTCTGCAGATGTGTACAGGTAGGAGGCTAAATTGTTCAGTAATAGCACTGAGTCTACTTGATAACACCTGGACAGAATACAGTGACCAGTTAATTTTTCTTCTAATGTTTAAGCTGCTAGTTCTACATGACTCGTGACAATTGTGGATCTAAAATCCAGTTGGTTTTTTTTTTCTAGGCAAGCTGCACCAAATGTTGGTATGCCGTTCTTAAAAAAATCTATTAATACTGAAACTCCTTATATTACAAAATGATGCATGTTTTCTTGTTTTTTTGTGACACTGTTTAATATTTATTACCCCTCTTCTTACCATCTCTTTCGAAGTAAACCAACAAATACAAGTTCACCTCAACTGTGGGGCTACAAACACTATCACAGACCAAAACCGTATAAATAAACATTCTTATTGCTACATCAGGGCCCATTTCCTTTGTGATATCAATTTTATTAATTCCGACTATTCCCCTTACGCAAGCATATCAGGACTTCGCCAATCAGCTAACCTTGGCATGCTTTCTCACCGCCGCAGGGTGTCTCGTCTTTCTCTTCTTCATCGGATCTTTTATTACAACAGGCATCTCATACAAACTTTGTTATCCCCTCCTTACCGCATTTTCTCTCGTCTCGACCGTTCTTGTAAACTCCGTCCGATTTCATTGTCAACCGTCACTCACCAAATGTCTACTTTACCATTGGCCATTGACGGCTGGAACTCACTGCCTTACGTAATTGTTTCCTTATCTGATACTAAGAAATTTTCTGCAGCCATTAGCTTATTTTTTCTAACCCATAACAAGATTACTGCGTGTTTTTGTAGATAAATAGTTTTGTTACTTTTTTTTTTAAGTGTTCACTCCCTTGTATAATGCCCCCTGGGCCTTCAAGGAATAATAAATGTTGATGATGATGATGTAACATAAAAACAAAACTCAGACTCAACCAGAACTGACGCTTGCAAGTCTCCCACTGACACCTGACAGAAGGAAAGTACTATTCCACTGATAACCACAAATTGTATCATAGTAGGTACATAATTTAACTAGTATGCCCAGATCACTTGAATATACTCCAATTATGCTGTATACAATTAGTGTTGGCTTAGACTTATTGTGGAATTATGAGACCCCTTTGGAAATAAAGCCTGACCTGTGGATGTTGCATCATACTCTAATAATAATAATCTTCATTTTGTTGTGTCCACAGACAGCATGTGGCCCAAAATAATGGTACACAGTTCGTCATTGGAAATGACATGCAGACGGCCACATGGATCCAAAATTGTACACAAATTATCGCCTCCCGACAATGTCAAAAAGTTGCTAAAAATGTCTTTAGCAGATTGATCAAGCTTATTGTTAAATTCTAGTTGTATCATATAAATTCAGGGAGTAGAACAGGCTCTGAAACCGACTGGACCACAAGGGAACATGGAAACAAACAGTACTCAACAAAAGTGATGAACCAATACTTACTTCCGTTCACCACCTTACGTAAAAACATAACATCATGTAAACGTCTTCTATCAAGCAAAGTGCACAACCCTAGTTTTTTCAGCACATTGTAGTTGTAATAACACTTGCACCCAAAATGCCTGTCTTAGAGTATGCCTATGAAGTGTCTTTGAGCATGCGCAATAGAGCATGTGTGGTTAATAAAATTCCAAACAATAGAAGCAAACTGCAGCTTTGTGCATACTAAGTAGCAAAATAAACGCACAAAACAAGCAGGCAAAAAAAATTGCCTCGTAAAACGAGATATCACTTCAATATTCCTAAGAAAGCATTACATGTAGTCAAAACTTGATTAATAAAATGTAAAGATGAATCCACAAAAATTCCAAGATCACGAATGACGGACACTCGTGTGATGACACTGCTGTCTAATGTGTAAAGGAACAGAAGTGAATCTCGCTTTCTTGTCAGAGACATTATTTCTGTCTTTTGCTCATTAAGCAAAAGACAGTTCATCGAACACTACCTTAAAATAGCCAATCCGTCATCCTGAAAAAGTTTGCACTTTGAATACGAAAGAACACACACGCAAATAATAACACTTCAGAGTTTTTCGCGGTACAAGAGATGTCGTTCACAAAAAATCAAGAATAAAAGTAGACCAGGGTTGCTTCCTTGGGGCACGCCGGAAGGCGACAAAAAATTACCAGACTTGAACCCTGACATACAAGCATGATTTCTACGACTCGAGAGCTAATTTTTAAACCAATGGTAGTACGTCAGACACAAACCATAACTACCATAAAATCCTGAGATGCGCCCACCCCTGAAAAGTAACCCAGCACTTTTTTTGGCTTGATTTGCCATTTTATTTTAGACATCGAAACATAGCCCGCTCCTAGCATTTGTAGTGTTCAGAGCAATGATGACCTTGGTGTAAATGCATCTAGTTAGCTATGGCGGGATATAAGCGAACATTGCCCACTGGGAAGTACAGTCATCTTTGCTTCAGTTTCCCTCGTCACAATAACAAGTTTGACAGAGACACATGTTCTAAAAATAGCATTTTTTCAACTTTCTTTGATTGCACACCGATAATTAGCCCATTCCTTATTTCCCTTCCAATTTTCTATCGATTTTAAGTGGACTATCTCTCGGGATTTTACGGTATCTAGTTTGGTCAGAAAAGTATTGTGATAAACCTTATCCGTGTGCATTCGCCATATCAAAATATATTGCATCGACTTGTGCATGGTTAAGAACAAATGGAACAGTATAATTTAAAAGAGCCCACAAATTAGATTCAACCGACTTGCCCTTCAAAAATTCCTGTTGCTCGAGATTTATTTTTATCGTCGCATCATACCACAATGATGCGAAGCCGATACTATGACGCGACGCAGAAATTGAATACAACAGCCGTGCAATTGTTCATTTCTAAATTGGGTAGAGTCAATTTGTTGGCGGCAAACAAGCGACCTCGTTATGCTTGCGCTGCTTATGGTGCACAAATTAACTAACACTATAAGCACTTGTCTTCACTTGTATATATTCACTATTATCCTGCTTGGTGCATCACCTGAAGAGTTTGTTTTAAATTGGATAAATGAACTTTTACTTAAAAAACATTTTTGCAAAGTACAGGGTGCCATCGAGAAAATGAAACACTATCTTTTGGCCAGCATGAATAAACTATGCATTGCAGAAAGCTGAAACTCCATGTGAATGTGGCGCTAGTGGTGGTAATAGGCAGCAAAAGTTTGAGAACATGACGTTACATGAACCGAGATAGAACAGGAAAACAAAATCTCTTAATGCACATTTCATGAAAGTGTGGGGCTTCTATGCGCAGACACCGGCTTTTCTGGCTCGCCACGATCCACTGTGGCTGCCCTACATATATGCGGGTTTCGATTTCCCTCTTTGCTGTCCAACAGTATGAGAGCCGGTCAATCAAGTTAAATGCTACAAGTGTGCAAGGAGAGGCACTTAGTCTTGGAAATGTACCACAGAAACGATTTAAAGGGTCTCTGTGTCAATCACATCAACAAACCGTCTCTAGTGGACTATGTTAGGAACATTTCTATTCTTGCAATTTTTATTCGTAATGTTGAACGTAAGATATTCAAGCATTGAAAAGGATCCTCACTCAAGACGTTTCGCTATTTTAGCGAAACGTCAAGTTCTTTCTATCAGTTTCTGCTACTGAAGCCTAGTGAATACGAGTGCCGATGTCAGCAACCTAGTGAATATGAGTGCAGATGTCAGCAGTGCAAACTGTGAGGACAAAGGAAAGCACAACCAAATACAGACAGGCGGACCTTAGAAAACATAACCATTACTTGACAGTTATCTTTTCTTTAGGTTTTATTTAACATTATTTCTACAACACATCAACTAGAGATGACGCCCATGAAGATCTCAAAGTCAGCTGTTGTAGTACTCCTGGTACTCTGGATCCGTCGGCCTGAGAATGCACTTGTCCCTGAGGTTGACCACCCACCCAGGCTGCAGACCATAGAAGACCTGCAGCGGATCCTTCCGCGCCATGAGCATCTCGGCGTCGGGGTCGCTCGCGACGTCGGGCAGCTCGTAGCCGTACTTCTGGGCCAGCAGGAAGCGCTCCTTGGCCACCTCAGCTGGGTCGGCCAGGTAGCCCCTCATGGCCGGGTCGCTGTAGTACCGGATGGCGTCTTCGGGAGGAAGTCTCCTCTTGGGGATCGGCTTGCCAGTCTTGAAGAAGGCCTCGGGGTTGCGCAGGGCCGTGACGCTGTTGATGTCGAAGTAGGCCGTCGTGATGACGCCTCCGTTTCTCTCGATGGCCGCGATGACGGGCTCCTTGGCGTGCTGGACTTCGATATTCACCTTGGCCTTGAAGTTGTCGATGCCCTCCGCCGTCAGTTGGACTCCGAAGTGCCGCTCCATCGGCGTGATGTCGTAAATCTTGGTGTTGCAGAGCGTGGCCAGGTCGATCGGCTGCTTGGGGTCCACTCTGCCCAGGTCGATGAGGAGCTGCAGCTGTTTGAGGGACAGCGGCGGGTACTGGCGGCGCAGGTGGTGTTTCTCGTTGTAGTTCTCCATCGGGATCTTGAGGTAGAAGGGCGACTGGCCGCCTTCGAAACCCAGCCGCGCGTAGCCCATGCGCTGCTTGCTGCCCTTGTGAGGGTGCAGCGCCTGGAACCGCTGGCCACGGGTCATCATACCGGCGGTGACGTACGTGCTTCCCGGAGTGTCTCGCAAGTTGGAGATGGAGACGCGCGGTAAATAGCGCAGGATTTGCAGAGCTCTTTCGGTCACGTTAGACGACATGTTTTTCGGAAGTTTCCCGATGTCGATGACGCTGCTATGCACCAAGGCTCACTGAGTTAAGCCCGTCACATCAAAGTTTAAAATAAAAAAAAAACTAGAAATAATATGTGTAAATAAAATGTTTAGTTTCATAGCCTAAATATTTTATAGTAGTTTGTTTCATATCTTCAATTTCGCGGCGCTAAGACAAATGAGCAACGCAAAGTGGCGGAACGTCAGCACCAGAGGTCAGCGCTTCTCGTTCTACTCCTTCTACTCGCTCTACTGGTTCTGTACTGGTTCGACAAGTCTAGCCAAGCCTACGTCTTCTCCAATTCAACATGGCGGAGACGGCGGAGACGTCGGCTGCGATCAGCTTCAAAGGTGGCGTTAAAAAACGGAAATGTTTCCGTACAAGAAACCGTTCAGAAGACGAAGATTCTGAACATGAAACAGAGGAAGAACTCTCTCGGTGAGTATTTCGTACAACCTGCTACTGCGACGCTTGTGACGAGTTCCTAAAAGTCGCTCTGTATTCCCGACGGGTCCATATCACAAGAGCGAATGACATTTTAGCGAACGGCGACATTTGAGCGAATGGTCGTTTTAGCGAATAACGGGGGCGCGCGTTAACCCATCCGTCGCGCTGCGCTTTACGCCGCTTCGCGGCGACAGTCTACGGCAACTCATTACAAAAATAGGGACTCACTTGGCCCACCCGAAAACGCCGCTTCGCGGCGTCCGACTATTCGCTAAAGTGTCGTTCGATGAAACGTGGGCGTTCGCTAAAACGTCATTCGATCAAGTGAGTGCCTCCCATTCCCGACGTTCAAGTTCAAACCACGGTTCAAACTTCAGACGATCCGACGACGCTGATAATTTCTTATAGCTCTTCTGTGTTCACAAAATTTCCATACCATAATCAGAATGTCTATTGGTTATTAGTAGTAAGTAGAAGAATCATGACTAATACTCTATCCTCGAACGGTCATCTGAGTGTCATCTCTCAGAGTCGCTCTCCTTATTTCAGAGAGATCCTCGAGGACACCAAAGAAATCCAGAAGCTGAGGAAGCGGCCCAACGGCGTTAGCGTCATCGGACTCAATCTGGGCAAGAAGTTGACCACAAAGGAGGAGCTGGTCATCGTAAGTACGGATGCTTGACCCTTGTCTCTAGAGGCTGGTGCTTGCGACTGCTTACGACTAGTTCGACCAAGTGCGACTTTTTCGAACTTTCAACGTGACGTTCGACAAAGGTTCGACTGATGTTCGACTTTTGTGCGCATGCGCAGAAATAAGAAAACCAGTCCGGCAGAGGAGAAGCGCAATATTCATTGGGTATATTGGCCATCACTGGTTCTCGTTACTAACTAACAAAAGCGTTTAAAGCGCATATTTTCGCTTTTGTTTTGTGTAAACATTGGTAGCCATGCATTTTATAAAATATAAAATAAACTACTTTCTAAATTATTTGTTCTCCAGAATTCAAAAATATTTGTGTAAAAGCAGGGCAGCACTGTCCATAAGTCGACCTTCTAACTTCAGTGAAAGTTCAAAGGTTTGGCGAACCATTCGAACCTTGAGGTTCGACGTCAAAATCGAGGTTTGACAAAAGTTCGCGGCATTCCTACTTACGACCGTGTGACTTGTTAAAATTTCTCCTAATAAAATAGCACACTGGTGCCATCTATCGAGTACTGCTGTGGGACACTTGGCATTTCTGTCATTTTTTTTTTTTTTTTTTTGCGCGCATAACTTTTTTTTTTTATTGGAAAAAAAGAAACCTTTGCTCTGGTAAATTGCAGTTCCAGGGTCGCTTCATAGATGGCAGCAGCAAGCCAGTGTTCTCTTGTGGTAAAGGCCCGTTCACACACTTGCGACTCCTTAGAACCAAACACCTGAAAACCTCTGAAAATCGCTTACAACGAGAGTACACGCTATCGCCATCTAGCCGGTAACCCTGTAACTGCATTTCACTATAGCAAAAGTCTGGCGGTATTCGCGAGATCAAGTGTGCATATACTGTCGAGACCGGTTATAACGAAGTCAAAGGGAATCGGAAATCACTTCGCTATATCCACTTCTTTGTAATATATAAACACAAACAAATAATCTAAAAAAAAAAAAAAAAAAAACGATAACGGGTTGTTATCGGCACATGTTTATCGAGCCTGCAGAAAGCGGTTGAGGTTTCTATGCACGCGTCCTCTGCCAGATTCTAGTCGCTTCTCGCCAACTGCGAGAAGCTCCGGTCAAAAAAAGATCCCGCTACGTACGGACTGTGTCGACAGCTGCAACGGTCCCGCAGAGGATGTTGGTGATGAACGGCATTCTTTACGTTTATACCGGCTCTCCCTAGGATGGCACGCTTTTGATTCAAGGAGATTGCCTTCGTCTTCCTTGTCGAGGTGCCAGTGGTGCCGGGACTCTTCATCGTTGAGTGGCGATGATTCGCCGAATCGGCGCTTGAGCGAAGTCGAATTTCGCGTAAGAGCGACCTCACTGACCAGACGCCGACGCGGATCACGAAGCAAACAAAGAAACGTGCACTGCACCGAGTTCGCGCTCAAGCTTGTCTGTTGTTGGTAAAGAGAGCCTAGATATGAGAGATGGAGCAACTGCTCCATTGGGGTCACATGGTCTGTGGGCCGCATTTGCAAAACGAGCTGTAGCATGCAAGAAGTCGAAACTCAAACGCGTTCGCCTTCTGCAAATGTGTCCGCCTCTCCGCCCAGTTTCCTCGCCACACTGACCACGCGACAATCAAATGCAGGCGTACTTACTGCTCCCTCTCTTAAATCTAGGCTCTCTCCATCATCTCCTCTATCACGTTGTCGCTAGCGCTCCAAATGCCCCTATCGGCATGCCACGACAGCTTCTGTGCGTGCGATGCGGTAAAGCCGCTTCCCAGATAAGGAGCATGGAGCAGACAATGTTGTAGCCTTTCCAGCATCTTCTGCAGCCTCTCCTGGGTAACTTCTTGGCCATGGCAGCAAAGTGTGGCGGTCCAAGCCTAAGTAAACTTTCCAAATTTGATTCTTTTTTTTTTAATTATCAGAAAATTTCTTTTTGCTATATCCGCGGGAGTCGCTCAACTTCCTTCACTAAAAGCAGACACGAATGCATTGAAAAAGTGCAAACGGGAATGGGAAATCATGATCGCTTCACTGTAGCCACTATTTCGTTATAACCAACTTCATTATAACCGGTCTCTACAGTACTTATGAGAAATGTTTGTTTATAACATTGACAAAAGTTTTTCATGCCAATAAACAAAGTTTGATGCAGGAAAGAAATAGAAAATATACGGGACCACCAAGTGTTCCACTGCTACCCGGTAGGTGGTGCCAGTGCGTCCTCTCGTTGTAAGAGATTTTAAGAGGTTTCAAGGCATTCAGTTCTAAGAAGTCGCAAGTGTGTGAATGGGCCTTAAGAGATTACGAGAACTTGGTCCTAAGCACACGCAAGTTGCGTGACTTAGCCTTAACGTGCGTGAAAGTTATCAACTGAATTTTGTTAATGTTCAAGACATGGGTGTTTCTAATTTTACTTTTCCGGACTTAAACCTCACTTCGTAACGTTTTGTGGTAGCTGTATTACACGGCACAATTTTCTCTGAAATAAGCTGTGAATTCGGGCTAGTTGCACTTCTTCTGATAAAGGAAGAGAACACCCACCAGCTCAAAACTCGATTGAAAAGCAGTCTGACTTCCCACCATCACCATGGTTTCAAATTCGTCTTCCTGCAATCAATGATTTCTTCTATCGTTAATAGAGAGTTTTAGTAATATGTATAGGGGCAAACGCAAACCCCCTACGTTAGCGTTAACGTTGCGTCGACGGAACGTTACGGAGCGCGTCGAATACGCACTTTTAGTACAGCGGAAGAAGAACGCAAATGTAAAGACTTGTAGCGCCATCTAGATGTGCTCCTGTAAACTGCTTCAAACAATCCAAGGCGGGTATTCGGTCAAGCCAATCCAAAGCCCCGATTCTCCTCGCTTTGTTACGGAAGTGCGTGTTTTCATGTGCCTGTTGTGTACGTGTTTTGTCTTTTTTTTTTTTTGTATTGATCGCACGGTAAACTCCTTTTTGGGGTCGACGGCGTCGACGTTTTTGGCTATCAAAACCCATCTTTGTGGGTGCTCGAAAGGGTTCGTCGCGTTGACTTCTTTGAGGAGGTTGATGTCATCTTCAATGATAAAGCGAACCCGTACAATGCGCGTAGCACTTCCGCTGGTTTGCCTCACAGCCGCCATTTTTCAAACTGAACTAGTCTCGCGCTCTCCCGTGCGCGACGAGAGCAACGAGATGGCACGCAGGGGACCGCTACGTGGCTACGTACGTCCGCAAAAATCGATAGCGAGCGTACGTACGCAAGGCTCGCCGCAGTACGTACGTATAGCGCATGCGCAGTGTGGAGGACGCAACGTTAACGTTAACGTATGGGGTCTGCGTTTGCTCCTATACGCATTACTAAAACTCTCTAAGGCTTATGTTGATGCACCATTCTCTTTTCTGTCTAGGAGGACCCGTTCAAGCTGAAGACTGGGGGCATGATTGACATGAAGGCGCTGAAGGGGAAAAGGTATGCCACTGTACTGCAATGTTTCCGTGTGGACCACACACTTGGGCGGTAAAATTCCGCATTCAATACAAATAAAGTTGAGCAAATGAGACAAGGATGAGCAGTTAAGGCAGGACAAGCTCTGTCCCATCACTGTCGTCCTTGTTTTTTTTCGCGCTATTTTGTAGTGAAGTGCACAAACTAGCCCAGCAACATATAGTTTACTAGATTCCGTGTTCAACTCTAACCTGTACATATAAATAGTGCAAGAAGGAGGAATGTTGTGTCTGCGCTAGCCGTGTTGTCCCAATTTCTCCCATTTTGAGCCAAGGCATTTCTGTTGCTATCTAGTGTTGCCAGAGGGCCAAAGTTTTCTTTTTTTCTTGGCTTCTAATACTCTTCTTTTTGTAATTGGAAGCTCCCAATCTTTATTTTAACTGTTGGTAATTGAGAGAAAGTCTGTCTTGTTTGTTGCTTGCAGAATCACCATGGAAGAACTGGATGCCGTGAATCTCGGGAACACCTTTTCTGTGGAAACCAACCAACGAGACGAAGACGCAGACATGTGAGTCTCTCGAGCGTTTCCTGGAACCTCCTGCAAGATTTTCTGATTGCCTCACCTGCACAAGAAATCTGAATTACATTGCCTTGACCCCCCTCGCAAGCCCACCACAAAAGTCGACGGTATCAGCAACAGCACCGTGTCAACCTCGCTGTACCACGGGTGTGCTTTTGTGCATCTTGTAGAAAGTTGGATAACCATTTTGTGCATTTTTTGTGTCCCACTATATTCTGTTTCACCTTATGATATACCGCAGGAAAGGCTACAAGTGCGAGCTTTTTGCTTTAGGGCACATCTCAGCGGCACAAGCTCTCGTGCATTAAGAGCAGCTGCCTACGCTGTGAGCTTGCGCTTCTAGACTTCGCTGTGGTACAACATAAGGTGAACCGGGTTATAGCCCCGTCTGGTCTAGAAATGGGTTGAGCTAAATTGGCAGTTTCTTTCCATCTGAGCGACTGAATTGGATGTGTATTCCGTATGTCAAAGCGCAGAAGTAATGGAGCCATATGTCTATTTTAGCTCTGTCCTGCGCCATTTTATCCTGCTTTCTCATTGTTACTTTTCGTGGTTTTTGGTAGCGTGAGTGTGAAATCTAGGGCAGTGCGATATGACAGGTGATCAGTAATGTCCAAAACAAGGTTTCTGTCCTTCAATATGAATGCTTGTCACTTCAAATCTCGTTGATTTTTACCTTCTTTCCCAGGATGAAATACATTGAAGAGGAACTTGCCAAGCGTAGGGGAAAAGGACAGGATACTGAAACAGACTCCCGGGATGAGTATGTACCCTCCTTGTTTTTTTATGCGCCACACTAATTTTGTAGAAAGTTGTGCTTTGCTTTACTTACTTAGCCTGTGCCTCCCTAATGCAAATTGTGTAAGTTGTCTAAAATAATGTATTTATGTAGCTAAAATAACTGTACTTATTTGGTTACCTACTCTTGCACATGCATCACTAATATAAAGAGGAAGGTGTCAAGGGGAGGGAAATAACAATGTTAGAGTGACAACTTACAGTAGTAGTTCCATTAAAGGGATCCTGAACCGAAATTCAGACTTCGCAAAATAAGGTCGCAGAAGGGTTTAACAGGTTGCTACAAACGCCAAAACATCACTTATGCATCGATATCTCAAACGGATGGCTGTATGTTTGGAAGAGAATGGCATGATCAAGCGAGGAATGTGACGTCACGATTCTCTTCAAACAGTTGGGAAGTTGGTGAACCGAAGCAAGAAGGAGGGAAGCAATGCCGCTTCCCTTTTTCTTGCTTCGGTTCACCAGCTCGAGGGGACAAAGCAAAGAGGAGAGGGAACGAGAATCACAATGTCGCATGTCTCGTTGGCCTTGTCGGTTGTGTTGAATTGCATACTTTGTTTCCTAAAATATGGCCATCCGTCAGAGATATCTCTGTATCAGTGATGTTTTTGAGTTTTGCAGGGTCCCACCTATCGCTGCAGCCTTGTTTTGTGAGCTCCGAGTTTCGGTTCAGTTTCCTATTAAGAGATTGGAGAGGAAGCTAAATACAAACAGAGGTAAAGAGAGATGAGCACCAACTGTGTGACTGCGTGGGAAGCTTAGCCTCTAATTACAGAATGAACAAAGTAGTCGCATATCATTGTTTTGTGTTGCAGTGCATGAACTTACGAAAGCAAACTGATGGCATCCTAATGCAAATTAGCGTCACAATTTTACTGTGCACTTACCCACACTCGGCAATAAAGAATTCTATGAAATTTTCGGAATCACTGTGGAAACAAGAAGCATTGACTACAAACACCACTGGGAAAGCAATGACAATAAGAAGCTTCCAATGACCTTCAGTTCTGGTTTTGACGAAAAGCCAAGACAGGTTTTGTCGAAAAGTGTGTTGACGTCGCCCCGTGTCGTAGTTCATTTGGTTGCATAATGGTGACATTCTCTGGTTGTCACCCACAACAGAGGTGTGGATCCCGAAGACGTGCTGTTCCACGTGCCCGAGCATTTGCGCAAGTCGTCCTCGAAGAAGTCTGAAGAAATGCTGTCCAATCAGATGCTGTCTGGCATTCCAGAGGTGGACTTGGGAATCGAGTGAGTGCTGCATTGTGCTTAAGGTGTCATTCTCGTTGCTCCTCTGTAACAAATTTTCTGTTTGTTAGAGGAAGGCCGTAGTTGGGTTGTGTGCTGAATCTCGTGGGAAAAGTTGCTTTGGAGCACACCCAACTTAGAAGAATGACGTGGAGCCAGAATTTTTTCAACACAAGTAACTACATTTAATTTTTAATAGACAAGACAATTACTACTAACATGGAAGCGCTTGTCCTGTGGCTCTTCATGGCTGTTCATATTGCTCCTTAAGCCGTTGCGTTTTATCACACTCGGCCACAGTTTTTAGCACAGATTAGGTTGCGTTTTGGGACGTACATTGCATTGCCTCCTTATGTCTGCCGTAATGTATCGTGTTGGACTCTTAAAGTCCAGCATGATACATATTGTGGATGCATTCTGTAGCAGACATACTCTATGAGATAGCAATTGACACTTTTTTCTGTCGCATCATTTCCTGTAGCACTTGCTATGTGACAGTGGCTATATGGAGCAACCACTGTTGGCTCAGATTGACATGGTCCACTCATGGACAATGTTAATTGAAATTACTGGGTGACTTGTGCAGTACTACCTAGACTGCATCGAATTTGTTTCTTTGCATCATATTATCTACCAAACTGTTATCTGGCAACCTTCTTTGTTGATATTTTTGTACTAAGATTCCTCCCCACACCCCCTAATGTAATGCACTTCATTGAAAATTAGCATTAGTTTATGTTCTCACCTCTATGGTAGTGCTATGACCAGCTTTGGATTGGCAGCCCTTGATTTGTGAGATGCGATATAAGTCACTTCATTGGAGCAGCTCTCATTGTAAGGTAAAATGCCTCATAGGGTTCGGTTGACAAATAGCATTACTATTGCAGTCCTTTCAACTTGTTCATTATTCTGTATTATGGCAAATACGCATTCAGCATTTTTTCTATAGTATTATTGCACTTGCTCGCACGTGGGCCTCAGTGCCACGCTGCGCCTGCAGTCGTGCAGCGACATGTGGGAACGGTCTGCCTCTAGAGTATCGGGAAGGGGACCCACTCATGAACTTGAGCAGATATTTACCCTCTTTGGACGATTAGCGAAGGCGATTATGCCAAAGAGCACGGCACATTGCTTGTGCTTTACTGCCCTTCCCTTCTTCCCCAAATTTGCAGCCAGAGCAAAGATCAGACAATGTGTGGTCTCTTCTTTTTTCGTCGTCGTTGATCCGCATGTTTTGAGCAGGATGTGAGTCGCAACTCAGTATTGATATCGGTTCGGAGTAAGGCCTCTGTATCGGAGGAAATTGCCGCGAGCATCGCATTTGTGCGGCGGAGCGTGTGCGGGGGAGTAGCATGTCTGCTCAACCTCGCAGGGAGCGCATCCGCAACATCGAGGCGACGGAGGAGGCCAAGCTGAAGCTGCTGCGGGAGCGGATGGCCAAGAAGGAACGCGAGACCTCCTTTGTGCCCACCAACATGGCCGTCAACTTTGTGCAACACAACCGATGTGAGTCGGCCAGGCAGTGCTTTTATCCCCTTGTCGCCTCGTGCCCTCTTTCTCTCGCCACCACCTCCTTTCGTGGCAGCTGCGTGTCTCAACATGTTTTATGCATCTCCAGTCATGTCTCACTAATGTGTACCCTGTCAATATGGATACCTCGCTGTAGAAACAAATTTGTTGTGGACTGATCTGGGTAAATTACGTGCATTTTAGTCTCGTTGCAGTGGATGACTCGCATTGTGGATGAAATTTTGCGAAGAATGGAGGTGTCCGTATTATTGATACATGACTTGTTATAAATGGATAGGAAAGGTGGCACACTCGTATTTAGTCATGTGCAGATAGTAGATTTTGAGTTCAAAGCGAATTGAAAGTGAATAGTGGTTTTGGCAGAATATTTTCGAATCATTATTAAATAGTTTCTCCACATCTTTCACCATGCCTAAACAAAAGTACACATAAATTCGAGAAGGTTGTTCTAAAGTTTCCACCTGCCCATTTCTAAGCTAGGTTAATTTTAATCCAACTATAGTTATCAACTGTAGACTCGGAAGGTCCACTGTCTACGTTGGGATTGCAAATAAGCGACACATTCGACATAAAAGTAATCCTAGAGATGCCCAGCTATACCTAATCATCAAGGAGATTTATAAATCTTGCTATATGCAAATATCCTTTCTTAAATATAGAATCTTAAAAATGAAAAAAAGACAATCATGAATGACGAACACAAGTTGTCAGTACATCTCTGCCTAATGCACTCTTACATGTCAGACAGTATAATTTTTTTAATTTTTACTGTTGTGTAGATACTAACATTCACAAAGTTCCCGTTTCTTTTGAAATACTCCAGGCACGTGCGTGCGCCATCCCGCTGCGAAAGTGTGCTTTCTTCCTGAGCATGACTGCAATATTTGTACTTTTCTAAACAATAATCGCGGTGGGTTAGCCCCGTTGAGTGTGCTTCTTGCCAAGCACCGGTGCACTACAGTAAAGCAACACCTGCGAAAGCGAGCTCTGTGGCTGTTGCTTCTCCCCAGTGCGCCGGTGCTCAACAAGAAGCGCATTCAACGGGGCTAACCCAGTGCGATCAACACTTAGAAAAATACAAATATCGCAGTTCGTCTTGAAGCAAATATTGAATAGCGTATTATTTGAAACTACTATACGAAAATTAGAATATTTGCACAACACTGCTCGTATTCATTTAAACTGACCTAGTACCGGCATTTTACTAGTATGGTACCGATTTCGAAATTAAAGCGCACCCCTCGGGGAGTTGGGAAGCTTAGAAAGAAACTCGTGAATTGCCACGGGAGAATAGCATGCTGTGGGTGCCATTTCAATGTCCTATGTTCAAGTTAATTTAGTGCTGCAGGTGATTCGTATTCGTATTGCCTGATCTTATGTTTCTGTGAATACACCCTTAAGCATTCTTAGTGTGTTACTCGCACGAACCACGACACAAACGCTTGACACTGTGGACCCAAAGGGGTCAAGAATGTCAAGTATAAACACTAGCTTATTACTTTAGTTTCAACATTTTTGTGCTCTACTTCAGTTGTAGTTTTTCATTGAACTAAGTTTTAGAAATATTAAAAAATATTGTTCATGGGCACTTTTCTGCACAACTTCTCAATAAAGGTCTGGTCAGAGGTGTGCTTAGGCTACCGTAAGGTGACCGGAAGCTTTTGAAAGAATGCTAGTCTCAGGTAATTACATAAGCATTGGGAAATGTGAGATGGGCTGTCTTAAGCGGCATTGAGAGCAAAAACATACAAGGAGTGGTCAGTCAACTTGTGGCTCCACACAACAAACTTACGTGAGATGGTGGCCCAGATCAGGAACACGGCGAACTTGCATCCCATGGTGCTATTTCTCGCCTCTCGGGACATTGCCTTGCGTCGATTTACGGATCGATCCAGAAAGTAACTTTCGATCTAAAACAATAGCTACGCCTTCTAGACGGCCGCTCGTCTCGACAATCCGCAAATCTTTCAACACTGCTATTGCCACCGTCACAGTTAGCTAGGTACTGCAAGCTGCCATCTAATCCCTGTCAGACTGAGGCAACACGACGGCAAAAGCAACACAGAACATTGTCCAACAGTCGGGCAACTTGTTGCTCGCTCCCCGTATTGTTCGGCAAACCTGTCACATCGCGGTGACAGCAGCATAACATGGGCGACAACGAAAATGTCGCGTGGTACAGCAACAAAAGCAGCTGCGGCTTGTGTTGGGCAATGCGTGTTGCCCTGATCGTTGGCTGAGCAAATTTCGGGCCGGCAACATTACAACACAGATAGCTTCGATGGCAGAGCTAGTTTTCTTTCAATAACGTCTTTCTCAAATACAGGCTTGAAAAACATTATTTAACAATAATTAAGGCTGGCGTGCAGCTAAAATAATTTGATGAATGTTTTTACTGCGTAATTACAGAAAGCAATTGTCGAAATGCTCACATTACTGCTAGTGAAATAATATGGCATGCCTACTCACCCGCTAATAAAGTATAATAAAAGTAATTCAGGAAACCAAAGGTTAAAAAGTCAAAGCATTAAAATGACCACTCTGATCATGATTGTTGATGCTTGTAACTTGGAAACAGCCACTACCAGACATGTGGTTTGTTTAAAAAAATACCCAGGAAATTTTGGGGGATGAAGCAATCACATAGCAGGCGGTAGGCAAATAGAAAGTGTTGAAAAATATTTATTCGACCGATCGGGATAAAGGCCGATCGTGTCGGTGTAACAGTTTTTAAGCATTGCCAGTTCAGCTGAACAACACGCTAATAAAGGCGCTTTGGGGTGCCGCCAGTGTTACCTCAGTTTTACAGTAGAAATGGAAATTGCATGAAAAAACCGGACAGAGACACTTCATACGGTGGCGTAAATCTCGAACATATATCGGCGATCTCACTTTCCACAATTAGGGCTATGTGCTTTGTCAGTGAATGAAGAACATTTTGATAAAATAATGGGTGGAAAATACTCCCCGTGTCAAATTTTCTAATCACATCATCGGTTTGATGTCATCCCGTGGTAATTTTCGGCCCTTTAATGCATTAGCACTTTGTAGGGTCACATTTTCAGTGACGCCGCACTGCACACGACGAAGATAATCAATCAAGATGGGGGAGTGTTCCCCGTGTTGTTCCCGCCGTCGGCGTGGTGTGACAGGGAGGTTGGACAACAAATAGGCCAACACAGTTGTTGGGTGGCAGCAGGATGCTGCCCGACTCTTGTTGGTTGCCGCGATGTGACAGGGTCGCCGGCAACATGATTTCCTCATGTTGCCGGATAGAGTTATCCAACTGTTGCCTTAGTGTGTCAGGGCCTTTGCACACACAATCGCTCGCACGTAATCTAAGCACGCGCCAGTTTTTTTGTTTTTTTTCTACTTTCTGCATTTGAGGTTTTCTTGTTTAAAAATGACTAATTGACATCTGAAATGGCAAACATACTGGCATACGTAATCTTGAAAACTTGGCTAATGGAAGCGTTTTCTTTTTTCTTCACAATCATTTGGACCTTTAAGGCCGGCTCACAGATTCGCATTTGACTGTGGTGCGTCACAATGACTTACAACGAGAGATAGGTGCCATCCGTCGAATAAGTCCTGGAACTCTTACGACCCGGGCATATATTTTCTAATTTTTGACGCATCATTCTTGCTCCACGAGCTTGTTTCTGACAATGTTATAAGCGATCGTTTCCGATAGATAGCACAGTAGATTTGATCTTGCAAAGACAGCAACACCTGTGGCCAAGTTATATGCAGATTAGAAATGTCTCCGAGTCTACGCGACAGACGGTGCCAGTGTGCTCTCGCCTCGGTTACAGGTGGGCAAATCGTGCTAGCTCGCACTCATGCGCAAATGTGTGCCTTTACTGTTGCACTTCGTCAGGGTTAACACTTTAATCTCCCTTGTCCCATGCATCAATGACTCTTTCTCTGTCAGCGTTATGAGAATAATCCTCAAATCCTGGAAAACAGCCTTTGACACCGAGTACCAGCTAGTCCAGCCGGTCCATGAAGTGTCGCTCTATTCTTCGTTACAGTCAACATCGATGACGGCAGCCGGTCGCGGTATGCAAGGAGGGTCCCTCGGGAGAAGGAGCCCCCCGTGGCCAAGCCAGTGGTGGTTATTGCAGAGGCGGAGGCCGTGGCACACAGCATCCCGGGGAGGCAGGGAAAAGGTGACACGCATCCTCTTCGCCCCGACGTAGCCCTTCTACATGAATCGTTGAATCTAGTGCAACCTAACGTAAATTGCCGATCTAATGCAATGTAGTATAAATGTAATGTGGCTCATATCCAGTGCATCCTTCGGTTGTAATGCAGCCTCATGGAAGTTATTGAACCTATTGCAGCATGAATCTGATGCAATCTAGCATAAATTGTAGGATCTTATGCAACATAGTGTAAATCTAAGGCATAAAGCTAATGCTACTTTTTGAACCTAATGAAATGTAGCCTGAATTATTGAATCTAATGCAACCTAGTGCAAAGCTAACGCTACTGGCATCAAATGTAACCTGGTGTAAATAATTGAATCTGGTGCAACTTTGCAGTATATATCTAATGCAACCTAGTATAAATTTAATCTACTAATAGAACCTTGCCTAAATCTAATTTAAACTGATCAAACTTGTATCTTGTGCAACCCAATGTAAACGCTGGACCAGCAAATGAAGAGGCACTGATAATGCTAGCGGTCAGATATTTGTGCTGGAATCCTGAGCTCAACGTGGACTTCATTTATAATACATTGAAGGCCAAGGGCTTTATGAACAAAGTACATAAACTGTGCAAACTTTTTTTTTAAACACAATTAAATGTAATTGCGAGATTAGCACATGTTTGCACTTCTGTCTTAGCGTAGTTGTTATGCAGTTGAAGTTACCTGCACATACCGTATTTACTCGAGTAATAGCCGCACTGTTTATGTAGAAAACCTGAGGGTTCGCTTTTCCACGGAGCGTACGGATTGCCAATCACCGCGATCAACTGCATGATTCCATCTGTTTACAGTACAGAGATAACATCTTCGCATAAAGATACCATCTGTGAGGGTGGCATTTGTATGGAGACTCGTGTTCTCGATCTAGTTATTCGCTATGTTATTTATGCGCAACGTAATGCTTGGCTCTATATGTGCTTTGCGGGAAAGTAGACACAAGGGCCTCGTTCATAAATAGTGCGGCTATTAGTCGAGTAAATATGGTACGTTTGAAGACACTAAGAGTGCTGATGATGAACTGTGAACAATCTGCAAGCCAGTGAGAAACTGATGCATCAAGCATGAGAAGGAAGTTCATGTCCTATAACAGCTGCTATCTATTACAAATGTTATGCTTTCAGTATACTTGTTTGCTTGGTGGTAGCCACAAAGCTGTGAAGCAACATGTTTATTTATTTATTTATTTCAAATACCCTCAAGGTTAGTTGGCAGTGGTAGATGTCTGTAACTACACTTGTCTGAAATCTTGCTCCAAGGGCGGTGAGCCTAAAAACAGTGGCCAACACTGGTGTACAGCTCAGTTTGGAACAAGCTTGCAGTTATATTTAATTTCGCTTCAAGCATAGAATTCTCAACAATATTTTATGTATACTTTGAGGATTCTTTGCAAAGAGTTCAATAGCTTCGATTTCAGCAACAGTTATTGAGTTTCGTGTTCTTGGATGCAACTGAAAAAAAAATCTGGAAATATGATTGCTGATAAAATATTCATAATTTTGGATTTATGTGATGAACCTAATGAAAATAAATTTGGATAAACCCTGGAGCTTTGTCAACAAATAAACTGCAAAAAAGTCCCTCCGCATTTCATAAAAAAATAAGTTTGGAAAATAGGGAATCTTATACATCAGTTACCTTGCTGCTTTGAGATTCTGTATGTAGAGAATTTCAAAGGTGGCCAGTCGGGAACGCAAATGCAGTGGACTCAACTTTTCGTCAAACTTGTGTTGTGGTATGATTTAGTTAGGAAATCGGTAAAAAGGCTTCCTAACATAATTTATTTTGTCTGTGTGCAGGAGGCAAAGGTTTGTCAAGGGGAAAAGGCAACGACGACGAGAAGGCAACCGACGACTTCCACTTTGAGAAGTTCAAGAAGCAGTTTCGTCGTTACTGAGGCAGTCGTTACGCAGTCTACATCTCCAGCATCACTTGTACATAGTGTCATCTTCTCCAGGACGTTATTCCTAGGAAGTGCCATCGTCTTCATATTCAAAATTGTTCCCCAGAAGATTTGGAATTGTAAGACCTACGATTGCAGATTAAGAAAATAATTTGAAACATTTGAAAAGGTATATAAGATTTTGTATGCAAATAAAACTATTTGTTGTCATCTTCAAAACAGCACTCGTTTCTATGAACAGGTAGAGCACGTAGGATAAAGCGCACTTGGTTCATAGCTTTGATTTCTATTATTATAAAATATTATTAGTTCTACCATTATTATTATTATTAAAATTATGTGTCATGTACCTATTTTCACAATTTGGTTGGGAATATGTCTACTTGCCAATGAGGCCATTTGAGCAATGTCAAGAAATGCAACGTAGCGGTGCGTGTGTTACCAACCTGGAGAACAGAACTGTAGGAAAATTTAGCGAGTCTGCAGAAGTTGGGGAACTCCCACCCACATCGGCATCGGTCAGGGAAATTGATCTTTCCTTTCTCCGAACATCAGTAAAAGGCTCATGTCTATATTCTTGGGTGTACCAGAGATTCAACCCAAATCACCTCCTTTTGAAACGTGCACCTAGACGATGTTCCCCCCTCGTCGTTGACGCATCCTCAAATGGACTGTTCTGCATATGGTCGAATAACTTCACGACGCAGGAGCTCGTCTTTCGAGTATTTGGAAAGAAATAGAGAAGAATAGCCGGACAAGGTAAGGCGATCCAGTGTCAACAACCACCCTGTGGACTGTCGGATATACGAGTGCTTCAATATAAAAACTGCACTTCAGACACATTGTTTTTTTAAGAGTCGTTTGGGGAAAACCCTCTGTTTTCGTGGCTCCTATTTTTCACGAATCGGTCACGGAGGACATAATCGTGGCAACTAAATTTTGCGAAATCCAGACACCAACAATAAAACTCTTAGGAACCGAAATTTTTGCATGCCCTTAAATTTCACAAATTTTTTCATTCACAAAACTTGAGGATTGGATTGGCGTTGAGGTCATGCGAGGTCAATTTTCCCACTAAACCTAGCGAGGAAACTGAATTTGAGTATAGGTCACATGACGTCAAGCTTTCCGCTAAATTTAGCGGAGAAACTGAATTTGTGCATAGTTCATGTCACATGACGCCAGGTGACATTATTTTCCCCGCTAAATTTAGTGGGAAAATTGAATTGGCCTTAAGGTCACATGACATAGGTTTCCCCACTAAATCTAACAAGGAAACTAATTTTGTGTAGTGGACACATGACACAAAGTCTTGCAGTCTTTTTCCTGCTAAATTTAGCCGGGAAACTAAAATGGTGTTAAGGTCACGTGATGTCAATTTTCCCCCCTAAATCTAGCGGGGAAACTTATTCCAGCTTCACGAAATCCAGTACAACTAGCCAAAGAATGTTTCACATTAAAAGAATTGCTGCAAACAGTTTCTCTTTTCTTTGGCCAGCTCGATTCTCGTATTTGACCGAGATTGACATCTGGTTTATTTTTGGAGTACTAAACTTAGTGAGGTGGAAGACACTGGATTACCAAGCCTCTTCAAAAAGGCGACAAGCTCCTGTAAAGCAACTAAGTATCGTCCTCCGGAGGACGTCAAAGAGTGGATAGCGGTCCGCGTTGGCTTTGTCCAATGCGTTTCGAACGTTGTCCTCGGGTTCATGTTTGGAGAAAACAATGAGCGACCTCGATAGGTTGGTAAATTTTTGTAGCCAAGTACAAGTAATTCAAGGGTACCAACTACTTGCAACTCCCATCACAAGTCCCACCCCTCTTTAAAAAAAAAAACAGCAACAACGTTTCATTTTTTTTAACGCTTTCTCGGAGATGGAGGATCAGGCTTTCTTGCAGCTATCAACATGCCATCCTAATCAAATTTGATAACACGTTATGACATTTGAATTGGATGTTTTTATATGCAAAGGGCTCCAATATTCTTTTTGATTTATGGGTTTCTTTTGCTGAGGCGACTTTTATGGCAATCTGTATTTTATAAATCTGCTCCAGTCTGTAGGTCTCGCTACAAGTTTTGCACGAGAACATGTTTTGTGCGACATTGTTTTTCAGCTCGAGGATGGAAGAAATTGCACACCACTAAAATTTTTTCGCATCCTTATTCATCCCTTATTTGTTGCGGCACCAGTGAATCGGGGTTATTTAGTGGAACTTAATAAGAAAGCACGTAAAGCTATGCTGCCTGCGAGAACCAGCAGCGAAAGCAGACCAGCAGACGACAGCGGCAAAACAACCTTCTCTTGGAGCTTCTCGGCGTTGCCACCATGCGGCGTCGATATCGCTGGAGCCGGCAATTTTGGAAGATATTGTAAAGCCTTACGACTGAGAACCATCATCTGGTCAATGACAAACAAATGGATTGTAGTACTAATTTGCTTTTCGGTACTGGTATAGCAAAAATGTAGTGAAGGTTTTTTTTTTCTTTATTTTTCTGAAAAGTTAATTTTTATACAAGTGGACGTTCTACAGGAATGGGTTCTCAAGATACGATTTGGAGATAGAAATTTCCCAGCTTTCATTTTATATTTTTGTACCACGATTGGAATCTTGCTTGTGTTACTGAAACCATAACTTTTTTTATTTAATTTTTAACTGGAGTGGTTATTTTACATGTAACAACTCTGCAAAACAAACTGCATCTCTAAGTTGGTAATGCAAACTATCTTACCACAAGGGGTATATCAAACATTTCCTACCAGAATACCGATATTAACTAGCCCACCGTAGAAGTACTGACGGAGTACGCCAAAGAGGCAGACTTTTCGGCACCGCAGCAAGAGTAAAACACAAGACAACTCGGGCAAGAAATAAAGCACAGCGAGGCTTTGCACTTTATTCGAACGGTGAACTTTGGCATTTCCTTAAATGACGATGATATAAACAGACTCAAAAATAATAAGAAGGCAGTGAGGACCGAAGTACATGTTACCAAGATACAACTAATGCCACAATTCTCTGGGGGGGTAAAAGTTGCACGGGACAGAACTTTGCTTCGAGAGCACAAACTGGCCTGGCTCTTCTAAGAAGTAAAAAAGAAGGGAGCCAACAATGTGGATAACACAAAAAAGCTGCTCTTATCCATTCATAAAACTCGGAAGATCATTGACACGGGCACACAACCAAACATACATTCGTGGCCACACGCGTTCCAGCAAATGAATGTAGTATATACGGGTGTTTTCCACAGGTATTCCAAAAACAAAAATGAAAAGGGTAAATTGAGAACAGCTGATGGATACCTTCGGAGTCGGCAGTCGCGTGAGAAAACTCTGTCACCTGCCGTGGACGTAGTTCACGTGCGCAACACAATTCAAACAAACAAATGCAGGAACGCTCAAATGTTGGTCCTCTCATTTGTTGGTCGTGTCCTGGAACTTGTTCTTCTTGTCGAGAATCTTCATGAGCTCCTTGGACATGAAGTACGGCTTCTCTTCCGAGCCGTCGTGTCGCTCACAGTCTTCCACTGCGTTGAGGAGTTAAAAGCGGATCTTTTTCAGAGCGTGAACCCGCTAAACCTAGCACTAATCACTGATAAAGCAGCAAATATTTTCTTCCGAGTATAGTTGGGCACTAGTTCAACAGGTTTCAGTACAAATCAACATTGCCAGTGTCCCTTCAAGAGGAACTTGCGTAGACGTGAAGAACCTTTTTTGTGTTTTTTATTTAAAGAGAATCCAACTAAAAATGGGTGACCCCTGCTAAAAGTTTACTAAACAGGTTAAATTTGCTCCTGTGGTCACATCCCTCTTAAAGAGCAACTCCGCTTCATTTTTGGTTTTGAAAAAACAATGCAGTCCTCTTCAGTATCGCCTAGGAAGACCACACGTCAAATATTACGCCACAGTTCTGTATAAATGTTTCTTAAATGGTCAAGCAAACTTTGCAACTCGCCAAGTTGCCCAAATCGGCTGACTCGAACGGGCGAATTCAGGCGCAACCAACAGCGCAGTCAAGGCTACGGCATGGGCGGAGCCAACATTGAGCTAAACGTCATCATCATGGCCCCCTTTTGCTTGTTTTTACTTCTCCGATCGAGCGTAGCGCATGACGTCAGCAACGTTGCCTCTCGGCGCTCAGCGGTGTCCACGTGACTGGCGTACGCGCCTGCGCAGCGCGCTTCTTGGGAGCAGACCAACCGCCGTTACCGCCATCTTCCGCGTCACAACCACCGTCGTCGTCTCACCGTTTGTGATTATTGCCTCTCGGAGTTTCGTCCACACTATGGACACCACGTGCGCAGAGTCGCAGACTTATGCCGCAGTTGTGCAGACGTCGTCGAATGCTGTAGACGCCAAAACGTGGCAAAGAGTGCGGTGCAGACGACACTCGCGCCTGCCGCACGCCCGCCCCCGTCCCGCCCGTCTTTGGGCCGAGGATCACGTGACATCTCGTACCACGTGATGGTCATGTACTTGGCGGCCCGAGGCCAATGTTGCCGGACGGAGCCGAAGTTTCGGTTTCGATTTCCGCTCGTGTTTAAAATTAGATTTAAAAATATATATCCCATTTTTCGCGAAGCAAACGACGTAGTGTCTTTTACTTGGGCTTTTTAATTCGAAATCACTCATTATCTCGAAATCTTCGGTATTGAGCGGAGTTGCCCTTTAAGAGTCTCTCATAACACAGTTCAACTTGCTCACACACGTTCAAAAAAATGTAAACAATGCTTTGTGAAAAAAAAAAAAAAAAGCATTGCAACTGTTTAGTTTTGAAAGTGTCGCAGTTGGTTTTGTGAAACGAGAGGTTGTACTGGTGACCACCCTAAGTGAGGAAAAAAACGGCGACTTCTTTAGAGTGGTCTGGCTTGAACGAGAGAGACATTGCGGTCTTCGAAGTTGGACCATGTCTGTGTCGACCAACTGTGAGCACATGGTTGCGAGCTCATCGTTTTACTTAAAATATGGTGAGCTTCTGCACAGCATAAAGATTGGTGGACACATTTGCGCTAGAGTGTAATCAACTATGTTGCAACCACTTATGGTTGCTTACGATGAAAGAGCACGCTTGGGCCATCTATTGAAGAACGCTGAAACATTTCTCAACTGTGTCATTCTTTCACCATGTTTTAAGAAATTCTGATAATGTTATAAGCTACCATTTCTCATAAATAGTGCATAGGTTTTAGCTCGCAACTACTGCCAAAGCTGCGGTTCAGTTATACAGAGATCGAAAGCGTTTTGAGACACGGTGCTCGATAGATGACACTGCAGTGTGCTGACTCATGGTAAGCGGGTTGAAATGCATTTTATCACAATCAGATGCAAATATGAGAACCAGCCTTATGCATCATACTTATATAAACTGAAGAGACTCTTTAAAAGGTAATGTGTCAACTCAGACAAGAAACACCAGGGCACCAGGGCACCAGGGTTCTCCCCAGGAATTTCTGAAGGGTGGACGTTACCGGAGGGGGGAGGGGGAGGGGGGGGGGGCGCATTTGTTTATTTGCTTGTTTTTTTGGTTCGTCGCCATCTGTTTATTGCCTTGCCCCCCCCCCCCCCCCCCCCCCTCGGGCACTGCCAGCGGCGCGCCGCTGAGATAGAGAAAGAAAAACAAAAGAAAAAGAAACACGGCGAGCGCCCGTGCTCTTTGTTTGAAGCAGTGTGGCAGTGGCGGCAGTCAGCGATGCAATAGCGAATGATAACTTGGCGATGCGCGGACCTGCTCAATACGACGGCGACGGTCTGCAGCCATGTGCGCAGGCGAAATCGCATCGTCATCCCGCAACATAAAAAAAAAAATGTAAATACTTCAGCGGTGGGCGGTCAGTCAGAGCGGTGGGCGGCAAAGCCACTACCGTCCACCGTCGGGAGAACCCTAATAAACACTTTTCAAAATCTGACGTGTTGACTCAGACAAACAACTCTCTTCCAATATCTAAAGTATGAAGCTTGCACCGAGGCTGCAACGTTGCAGTTTGGGTCCTCCCTAGCTATTATAATAGCTAGGCAGTTACTGAAGAATGGACTTACGGAAACAAAGGAACAGCGTGTCCACTGCCATCCCGTAGACGCTGAAAAAGCTCGAAGCAATGATGTAGGCACCCACTGAAATCGTCTGTTAGGAAAGGAAAAAGAAGAAACCCTTCGGTTGCGCAAGATCAGAAAGTACACAAGCATCTCTTATTGCATATTTTCATGCCCCCGTTTCATAACTTCTGGTTCGAGGTTCCATGCACCGCAGGATTTTCCTGCATTGCGGATTGGGCCGGTATAGACCTTTCACCAAATTATTCAAGCACCAGGGAGAATGCTGGGAATGTAGGCACGTGTGCTGCATGCACTGACATTATCTGTATGAAAGAGTCAAAGTAACTAACCAAAATAAGGTGTTGACGAATGCACATGTGAAGTGCCCTTTATTTTAGATTTTTGCTTTGGATCAGTTACTGCTGTAAACACTAGCACGTAGAGCCCGTGTAACTACACACGCAGCATGTACCTCGGTGCTTGGGTAATTTAGCAAAAGGATCTATTCACACTAGAATACAGTTGGATCTGTATGCCACTCTCTCCTTCTGAAATTGTTTAACACAAACTTTTACGCGAGTGTTTGAAACAATACATATGTATCCCGAGAATCGGGCAAACGTGCATGCGGCACATGCAGCATTGAGACTTGACACACCAACTGCGGAATGCCATCTGGCTAAAGGGCATTCAAACTGCCCATGCAACGTGAAGACAGATACCAAAGTTCCTTACCAGAACAGGCAGCATGTAGTAGTTAAGCTCAGGGACGTGTCCATTCAGAAAGTCAACCTTGCGAGTGAACACAAAGAAGGTGGGAATGGCTGCAAGAAGAGGAAAGAAGAGAGGGTCATGTGCATCTTGAGGGTCACGCTCGGTCGGCTGTGTCCATGTATGTATCCACATTTATGATGCCTTTTGAGTAGGGTTGAGGAAAACATTCGAATAGTAGTTTTAAATAATACGCTATTCAATATTCACTTTGAGATGAACTGCAATATTCCTACTTTTCGAAACGTTGATTGCGGCAGAGTAGCCCTGTGAAGCACGCTTCTTACCAAGCATTCGTGCACTGCGGAGAAGCAACACCTGCAGACCTCGCTTCGCCGCAGCGCACCCAAGTGCTTACTAGGAGAAAAAACACACCCTCAAAGCTGGATGCTGCAAGCATATGCCCGGTGTAATTTAAAAAGAAACAAGCTTTGTGAAAGTTGATACCTACATCGCGGTAAAATTTTCTAAATTAAACTGCAGCTCCTACGCAAGAGTATGTGTTAGGCAGCGATTGCTTGGCAGCCCACTTTCATCATTCGTGCTTGTTTTTGTTTTTTCGAATTCGAGATTTAAGAAAGGATACATGGATCTAGCAAGCAGATATATAAATCCCTCTGAATAGGCATATCTGGGCACCTCTATAGGTTTTATTTTATGTCAAATTCGTTGTTTATTTGCCACCCCAATGTAGGCAGTGGCCTCTCTGAGGCCATAGCTCAGAAGTACAGCTGCATTAAAAATAAGTGAGCTTTGATGCGTAAGCTTAGGAACAACCTTCAAACCTTGTTTTGTTCTATACAGTGTGCAAGTTTGTTTGCTTCTTTTGCAGGGGCTGTAATGACTTCAGAACGCCGAGCTCCGATTGGCTCCGATTAAAAGATAGTGGGTGGAACTTAAAACAAGCTGCCTTGAGGTCTATCCACAATCCTCTAATCAGAGCTAATCAGAACTTGGCGTTCTGATGTCAGCACAACCCCTGCAGAAAAGCAGACAAACTTGTGCTCCAGATTTGTTCCGTGCTTGTCTCTTGCAGCGCTTTCTCTGCATGAACATTCAAAAGTTTAGCCGGAGTTTTGCTTAAGCATGGTGCAATGGTAGTGAAAGGTTCGGAAAAACTATCCGACATTGGATCAGAAAATATTCGGCCATAACCTCCATTTATTTGAATTTGCTTCAAACTCAAAATCCACTATTGACACGTGCCTACTTTTGGGCATTGATTTATTTATTGATACTGTTAGCCCTATCACAGGGCCATTACAGGAGTGGAAGGTACAAACGATAAAAAGCAAAAAGATACAAGGTGAAAATACACACAGTTCTCGCATTTCGCTTGGTTTCATAAAAACGATACCTTTCGGCACATTAGCCGAAAGGTATCATCTTGACAATCACTGGGCTCCGACGGGGCCCTACGACTGCGAAGCTTACCGACAATGCCGACGATGACGAGCTTGCCAACGAGGAGCAGCAGGTCAGTGACCTTGTCGAGCACGACCACCCGCACCACGTTGCGCATGAGCAACTTAAACGCCTCCTTGGCAGAGGTGCAGAAGTTCTTCCCGTAGATGGCGATCTAGGGAGACGCCACGAGACCAATCGTCAGGGGGCGCGCTAAGAATCTGCAATCCACTGCACCACATCCTCCGGCGTTCAATGGACCCTTTTCAGAGGTCTATCGAGTGACACCGGCGACTGCAATATGTTAAGCATTGCTTCCTGTGTGAAGCGTGCGATTGGGCCCAAGTTCACATTGAGATCTGATGCAGCATTTGTGTCTGATTCATGCTTAAAACGCATGCCCAAATATGGCAGCCTCCACTGCCTGTTTCGATTTGGATGAGCACCGTACCGGCGTGCGGTTGTGGGTCACTACTGAGTGATGCACATTAAAAACCCCAGGCTGGCAGTGGTACTCCACTAGCTAAATATATCATCTACAACCTAAACCAGTGCCGCCGCACCTCAAAGGCAGATTGACTTTATGCTGTATAAACATTAACATCAATTTTTTTTTTTTGGCAGCCTCGGACAACTGATTTAGCAACTAGTGGAGTGCACACGCTTTTGAAAAGAGTGTTAAGGCCCGTTCACACTCTTGCGACTGCTTGCGACCTCTTAAACCTGGGTTCCTTAAAACTTCTTAAACCAGAGAACACACTGGCGCCATCTATTGGGAAGCAGTGTAAACTCGGCGGTCCGGCATATTTTTTTTTATTTCTCGCGCAATATCCTTTCTTTTTTGGCTCGAAAAACTTTTGTCAATGTTATAAACGAGCCTTTCTATGGGTATTACGCACATTTGACCTCGGAAACCCCGCAAAACTTTCGCTTTTGTGAAATGCAGTTCTAGGGTCACCGCATAGATGGCGCCACAATGTCAGTGTGCTCCCTCATTCTAGAAACATTTAAGAAGTTGTAAGAGATCTCGTCTCTCTCAGTCTTACTCGGTCGCAAGAGTGTGAACGGGCCTTTAGGTGGACTTCTGTGCAGCATGGTCACAGGGTGCAAGGAAGAAAAGCTGTGCATGTGTGTGAAATGTAGGAACTAAAGAGCTAGAGAAAATGCTGTGTCAAGAGTCACCAACTAAGCAATGAAATCCTAGGCAGTTCTGCCAACCACTGCCGTTTCTGCGTTGAATGCCTGGATGTTCGCTACAGAAACTATACCTATGTTAAAACAATGATGAATAATGCTGGTTCATCATTGTTCATTATCACCCTTGCATGGAAAGTGTCTGAAAGTGGCAAATATTCACCATGATGTATGCATTTTTGTTGATGAACTTGAGGAATTTTTCCAAGCACCAAAAGCAGCACTTGCAACATCTGCAACGGGAAGCATACAGAGATCATTTTGCTTTTACAAATAGATTCTGAAGGCAACTACTCTTCACATACTGGCACATATTACGATAGAAATAGCAAAGAACATGCAGATGAGCGGTTGACACATTGACATATTATGGGGCATTATTGGGGTACATATTACGAGTGCATTCAACAAAACTAGTAAGATCCAATTCAAATCTCAATTGCCCTTTGGAGCCTTGTAACAACTGATAGGCGATACAGTCTGAGCTCATTATAAAAGACCTGGTTACAACAGACATTTGGCTATAACATACAGATTTGTGAAGTTGGGTTGGTTTTCCTCTATTCTCCATTAACTCCCCCCAACTAACTTCATATCTGCATACAACATACTCCTTTTACAATAAACCAAAATCTTGGTCAAAATCAGGGTTTGTTATAACGAGCTTAGACTGTACATTAGCGAAGGAACCGGTAGAAAAAATTGCTAATTCCGTAGAGAAATTTGCTAAAAGGTTTGACCACAGGGTAGCTTACCTGAGCAGGCATTTTGTGAACTGGTTGTCATATTTCTTCAGCTTGGCGTCCACATATTCGAGCACAATCCGTATGCACCTCACAATAGTCAGAATCAGGGAGCCAAAAGCAACAGAACCCAGATGATACCTAAAAAAAGATGAAAGAAATATAACAGATAAAGAAATGTAAGCTTTCTTGTTTTCATTCAAACCAGATTTAAAAAATAAAGAAAAGCTAAAAATAATTGAAGAATTTTTTAGGAATAACATCACCGGCTGTGGAGGACATTAGGACAAAAGTGTAGCTAGAGGATGAGCAAGCTAATTACCTGAAATTGTTTAATTATTTGTTTAAGTACTCATTAAACTGGCTCGTCCCATTATCATGGCGGGTCGATTTCATTATTTAAAGTTCTTTTTTCAATAAAAGCTGCGTTGAATAAAAACAAACAGTCCATATACCAAATCGTCAATGCATGGTAATAGCTCTGCTAAATGGAAAGTAATGTCACAACAGACTTTCATAAAAAAAAAAGTGCAAGTATTTATACATTTAACAGATGTTATTTGAAAACACCTTGGCTACTGTATCAATCCAAGCTTATATCCTATTACATCTACACAAAGTTTGTTCACAGGATCCAGTTTGACCCGGTGTAGCGATTGTCAGAGAGTACACATGTCTCGGTTCAGGCCGAACCCACCTCAGTCGGTGAAAGATTAGGCACTCTTGAGTAAGGCTTTAGCAAGGCTTTGAAGGCTCCTGCAAAACTTATTTGAGCACCCCTTGTAGCACGCACGGTTCTCCGAACATCCTGAGGATATCCCAATGTTCCAGAGACATCCTTTGGACATTCACAGGAAATCTGTGCTGCCTGGGGTAGGGCTTAAGTAGGATTCCACGTTTTCAACACAAACCCCAAGAAGTAATCAATTCCCGAGCTGGCTTTATCAAAAATGAGGGAAACTAAAAAAAAAAAAAAGAACTAATTGGAGCTGTATTTAAGTAGCAAAAAATGCAAGCTTTAACGGAAGAAATGTTTGTCTATAGCTTAATTTAGTGTTTAGCCAAAACCCAAAAAAGTTCAGTGTGCACTGAACTGTCTGTGAGGCTGCTCCTTTCTTCAGGAAACATACCCCTTATCTAGTTTTCTTCTCTATTCCCATATCCTGGCTTATCCCCTTATTTTGCTTCCTTTCCTATCTACTCAGTTTGCTTCCCTCATCCCCTTAGTTTCCTTCCCTTATAAACTTATCTTGTTTTCTTCCCTATCCCCTTATCTCATTTCCTTCCCTTATCTACTTAGTCTGTTTCCTTCCCTTGTCTTCTTATTTGGTTCCTTTTCTTATCCCCTTACTCTGTTTCCTTCCCTTATTCCTTCATTTTGTTTCCACCCCTTATCCCCTTATTTTGTTTCCTTTCCTTATCCCCTCATTTTGCTTCCTTTCATTACCTCTTTATTATGTTTCCTTCTCTAATCCTCTTATTAGTTTTCCTTCCCTTATTCCTTTATTTTGTTTCTTTATCCCCCTTATCTCATTCATTTCCTTTCCTTATCCCCTTAGTTTGTTTCCTTTCCTATCCCCTTATCTCATTTTCTTCCCTCATCCCCTTATTTTGTTTCCTTCCCTTATTTCTTTCAAAGCACAGTTCTTGGGCGCCCGGTTCTGGCTTGAGTGGCGTTGCCGTCAGTGTAATTGTGCGTTGCATTATGGGACGTTTTCCATAATGACGTCACACGTGATGTCACGAGGGTCACTAGGGCCATGAGTGACATCACTAAGGTCACTTGTGACCTTCACTGTAACGTCACTTCACTCGTGACCTTCTGTGACCTTAACTCGTGAAGGTCACAACCTTCACGAGGCCTTCACAAGGGAGGAAGGGGAGGAGGAGGAGAGGGTATGGGAAGAAAAGGATACCCTCCCCTCCTCCTCCTCAAGAGCTGCGCTGTAATTCGGCATTACAGGGAATTGTAAACGTCTTTCATTTTTTGCTTCCCTCCTCTATCCCTTTATTTTGTTTCCTTCCCTTAACGGCACTAGAAAGTTTTCCAAGTATTTGAGTGAAGCACGTGTTCATTGAAGGTTGAGGAATCCCCAAGTCTACATGCTGTTTCAACACAAGCCCCGATAAATGCAAAATTTTTTTGACACCGAAAATATGCACCGGAAAACACCGAACATATGGGGGAAATACGCCCCAGAAGCGCAGAGCCCTGGGGAGTATGAGTCACCTGAGGGTGAGGCAGAGTCCGTTGAGCACGGCGAAGAAAGGCACGTCCTGCGGCTTGCGGAAGGCCCAGTAGTAGGAGGCGAAGGCGGCCGCCAGTGCCACCTGTCCCAGCCCCACGATGAAGAACATGCCCCAGATGAGGCCGATGACGTTGTAGATCTGCGCCCTCGACAGGTGCTGGTTCGTGATGTACTGCGCAAACTGGCACTTGAGTCCATCGATCGTGCTCGTCTTGTTCACATCCTGCGAGAGAGGCGTCTTCTCAGGTCGCTGGCATACTAGATTCCACTGCACACCCTTCACAAGCAGGTTTTCACCTTACTGACTCGAAGTCTGCCTTATAGTTTAAACTTGTTTTTAGGTTTGGTATATCATAAATCAGAAAACAGCAAGATGAAGACTTTCAAAGGTTGTGTGCCATATGAGATTTTCTAATTGCCAATAACTACAAGGATTCACCTTTAATTATCAGTGAAAAAATTCTAACATCTAATCACTTTCTTTTGAATATCCTGCAGCACAACTATTACTGGTATTGGAGACTGGGTGTTTCAAATCAACACCATAGTTTTCACTTCCCTACTGATTACTTCTTACTTAGTTTACTTCTTATATATTTTTCTTTCCCTGCTGATCTAAACTGCCGTGTGAAGTTTAAAATTCATTGTAGGTGTTTCATTGCACTTCTCTTAATTTGTTTGTTTGTACCGTTGATTGCCGGCTGACCTGCACCAAGAACATTATGTGGAGAGCGCAGACTTCGTCAGATTCTGCAGCCTCCTTGCCTCCGCCTTCTCTTCCCAATATATATCTCCAAAGAAAAATTCAATAAATTCAAATTCAAATTGGGAAATGAAACAATACAAAGTCTTCTAAAGAATGTGTAGATCTTTTAATTGGCAAGAAGTACACCAACTCATTTCAAATTGTCACTGAGAGAATTTCAACATGTGGTATAATGTTTTAGGATCACGGTAAATTGTAAGAATGGTTTGTTGCACTCTATGAATTGCACAATACATAGATATATATACTTTCCGCCAGAGTTCTCGATAGGAGTATCTTAAAGAAGTGGGGCAGAAACGTTTGCCATATACAAGTTGCAGTGCTCATGAAAGTTATAATTAGAGATACAATAGTAAGGGTGCAGGCGAGCTGGTGGATGTTAACCATGTTGAATATACCTGAGACTGGGGTAGAAAAAACATGAAAGTCGAAGAAACAGAACGGGACAGGACGACGTCTCAAACTCAGCTCTGTTTTTGTTTCTTCGACTTTTATGTTTTTTTCTACCCCAGTCTCAAGTATATTCAACATGGTTATAATTAGAGTTCCCCGTTTTCTGTGTTTATCTTTTTTTTATTTTTGGGGTATTTTTTGGGGGCTTATTTTTTCTTACATATTACGTTTTTTGGGTAAATTGGTTAGAACTTAACCAATTTACACAAAAAACAGCGAATCTATGAAAAATAAAATACTCCCCCCCCCATCCAAAAAAATACCCCCAAATCCGAGGCAACAAAAACAAAAAAAGAAACACCGAAAACACGGTATTTTAGTTATAATACATGGATTATCAAATTGGACTTGTTGAAGGATGGGGGTTCCTCAGAGTACTCATATAGGCTCCCAGAGCTCCCAAATTTCCTTGGCTGCCCCTGCCCCTTAGTGAAGCGTTTTTCCAGTTTACACACTACTTAAGCAGATCTGAGCCACCCACTGATGCATAACTAAGAGCCAAACGCTCACTGGTATGCACATTTTTGTTTACATGGTCGGCATGTTTACTGCTTTACGGTATCCATGCAGAAATTGCTTATCATTAAAGGAAACAAAGGTTGATTAAGGTAGAAATGTTTGCGAACTCCTGCTATAAAGTATAGCAACAAAAATAAGATTACATTGGTGTGTAACACCAAACGTCTGTGTGTGAGAATTTCATCACAATCGGACGAGAAGTATGCAAAATATTTCAAGGCCAGCATCTTACCACAAGTGTTTCGACAGAACCACCACACACACTTTTGTATCAACTTTTGGCTCAAGTAAGCGATTCTCGGAGTTGGTGCAACTACTATGCCCCTTTACAAAAATGACAGCCAGTGATTTCAATATATCTCCGTTTCGTCATACTCAAGATGCGGACATTTGAATTCCTTGGCGCGACCCTCACCTCGAAGGTGCAGTCCTTGGTGGTCATGGATTCATTTCCAGCAGTCATGTTCATGTACTTGTAGTCCGCCTTGCCGCTAGACGCGAGGTACCTGACGACGTCGTTGTTAAGGGCATCAACTTTTCAGATTATACTTATTTTGTTGAAGTGACTGGCTAATTTAATAAATTTTTAAGTGATTAATTAGTGTCAGAGTCCACCAACCCAAAACGAGAACATATTACATACACGGCATGAAAATAAATAATAAAAAAAACACCCATTAATGGAACGGGCCACCAATATAGTCATCAAAATACCAATAGACTAAAAAAAGAAACTACTTCAAAAGCTTTAATACTGGTACGATATTCACAAAATAAAAATACTGATAGACTCGTAAAACAAAATTCCTGGCAATTAATTTTTTTTTAAAAAGAAGACCCTGACTGCACTTTTGAGACTTTCCTATTTTCCTTAGCCTTGAAAAAAAAAGAGCATTCAAAACAATGAATAGCCACTTGCCATTTAACAGTAATTAGTAGCAATATACAGGGTGGCTACAGTGTATCCTATGCAGTAAAATAAGCTGCAAAACAAGGCACCTATATGTCGAAAGCTTTAACTTTCAATGAATGTGCATTGAGGTGGCAAGTTTTACATTGTGAAATTTCAAGGTCTAGTTTTCCTCCTTCAAAAAATGAGACCAACAAACTTGGCCAAATCAATGGCGAATGTGTTCGCAGACGATCGAGTTAGCAATGAATGTAACTTGTGGCAAGCACCATTTACCGAAAAGCGCAGCAAGCAGACAATGCAGTTTGTTGTCTGCTCGCTGTGCATATCGGTAGATGGCACCGCAAGCTAAATTCATGGCTAGCTCAGTCGTCTGTGAACACACCCGTCCCTGACCATGGCAAGTTTGTTTGTCTTAATTTTTTACAGGAAGAGAACTATGCCTTAAAATTTCACAAGGTAAAACAGAGTTCTGCAATGCACATTTGGTGAAAGTTCAAGCTTTTATGTGCAGGAGCAGATTTTTTTAGTCTCGTTTTAGAGCAGGATCTGGCCACACTATACAAGGTTTCTACACAAGCAACAACAAGTATCAATACTAGTTGAAACTCAAAACTGCTAAGAAACTATACATGATTAGAAGGAAATGAAAACTGAAACACGACATATTGTGCCTCATCGTAAGTATATTTTTCTAGGTTGTTTTGATTCTTGGCAATGTTGTGTTGTAATTGTGACTTGCTAACTTATTATTATAATTAACTGGCGACCTGGCTCGAATGTTTAGTTCGGTGCCCTCCAGCGACAGAGTATGGTTGAGTAGCAACATTCACCAGATCAATTGCACGAAAAGGATACACAGCCACGGATCCCCAGAAAACAAATAGCAGCAGGTGAAGCAGATAGGGAAGCAGTGGGAAGAACAGAGCAGATGGCATCAGTGCCACGGCCCTGCAATAAAACGTGAAGAGCACAAATAAAAATGAACAAGAAAACAAAATTGAAAATTTTGCCCAGCCCTATTTACAACGTTAAGAACAACACTTCTAACAAAAATACAAGAGCCTTTGGGAGAAAAACTTTACCTCTGTTCTGAAACCTATTAGTGGAGAAGGAGAGAGAAGAGAGAAGACAGAAACAATGAAAGCAGCAACATAGTAAGTATGTTCTTAATCGTGCTTAAAACGTTTCTGTTCAAATGTACACTCAGAGTGACAGTATACAACTTTCCAGCGCTTATCACTCCGGCAAAAAATGCCGAATCACTGGGCTGTGGATGCATGTGCAACATCAAATATTCCACAGAAGAACTCGGAAAAAGTGCATTGTACAGCCCACTGGACAAAAATGGCCTCACACAGAAGTCGATTAGTGAAATGATCTATAAGTAGCACTAGCACTGCTAGATGCAAGGCATTCTACAAAAGGTGCTCCTTGGAAGGTCTGGATCAATTGTCTACACATCAATCATCTCGGAGGTTCCTCAAGCGATTGCTTTTTGGACTTTGTTCGGTCAGCTTATGCTGCCTTTGCAGTTTTCGAAGCAAACCATGGCTGTTTAACATTTCAGCTTGCTCGAATTTCTTCTGTAGGGACTTAAAACGTGTCAAACTTCCAGGCATTTTTTCTTGCAATGCTCATACACTGGGGAGACAAGCTTTACGGACACATCTTACGTTCACTCCGCTACTGTCAAGAAGACAAAAAAAAGTACAAAAATTAAGAAAATCAATGCCGAGTTGTTGCTTTCTTCAAGAAATGTTTTTTTTTTTTTTTTAAATTAGAATATGTGTGAATAAGCACAGCCTTGAAAGGTGGTTGAGTTGCACGAATGCCAACAGGAGAGCGAGCAGTGCTCAACACACACACTGTGCCTCGAGCACATCCCCGACTGGCCTGCTTACTGCGTCACGAAATGTGGTCCCTCGACTTCTGCCTCGCGACGTCATAAGAGCGTTATACAATTGCCTGCTGCGATCTCGCCAGCGGCACGGCAGCAGAGAAGGAGTCGGAGGCAGGCGCCCATTTTGCTGTAGCTCAGTCTCCACGCATTTATTCACAGAAACTTCGTTCACGGAAACTTCCTTGGCTACAAGTTGGGACGCCGCGACGACGGTGTTCGTCCTCTTCGCCGGAAATTTCGCGATTAGGATTGCAACATCCGACAGCATGACACGCCAGCTTTTGCGACGTCATTTGTTGACACTTTGGGATCGCTTACGATAAGTGGACAATATGGGACGCTCAGCGCACCAGTGAGAAATGCCTTTTAGCTACTGCAGCACAAATTATCACAATTTCTGCTGCAGTGTTCTGGGGCCTGGTCTCTCCGAATTGAAACTATGAAATTCCATAGGGGCTTGAATGACCTGGCCTTTTGTGGGGAAAAAACCCCACCTTTTTAATGCCATAGAAATCGAGACTTACCTGCTGGCTTCCTTGATCAGAGCAATTGCAATGACAATCCGCTTCCGCAGGAAAATCAGGAGAATGAGTAGAATGAGCAAAATGACTGCCGAGACGATGCCTGCATTAGAAAGGACGGGAAAATGGTAGAACATCAACAATGTTTAAGTACAGTCGCGAGCCTGAATAAAAAGGAACTTTCATAATTTTTGTTGCAATTACAATTTCATCTTGAAAAGGGTGAAGCTGGCCTCCCTGACACATCCTATCAGTATCATAGATGGGCTAATGAAACTTGTACCAGCTATTTTCCTTATCGAGCTAAAGAATAAAAAAAATTTAAGTCCATTTGCCATTAGCTTGCGAGTCACATTTTCTGAGCATTGGAAGTGCACTCAAGACTTTAAAAAATATAATGAAATGTCCTGTCATGACAATAGCAGGACATGGTGCACGCTCTTACAGGGAGCACTAGAATGCATGCTTCAAGCCACAAGAATGCTGGAATAGTTTCAATTTGCGTCAGAACAGTTCTGTACATGTGCACGGACAAAAACTATAAGCAAAATAAACTGAGAAATTTATTTAAAGAAAATAGAGTGTGCCTACACCTCCAGCAACCAAAGCCAAAGTTTTGATATTCAAGGTGGCTGCTGTATTATTAGCCGCCCATAAAGCAAAAGTGATGATCCCCCAAATATTGCAAATGACATGTTTTGCAACAACTCAAATTTTTCCAAATTTTGCATGGAGCCCAAAACGAATCCTAGCGATCGTAAAAATTTTTTTCCATAAAGTTAATCTGTTGCGTGGAAATTTTGCCAGATTCTCAGAACACTTAATTAAGCCCATTTATGCTCAGCACTCTGCAGCACAGCACTTAATTTTTTTTTTTTTTTTTTTAACTTCTGATGCAAAGCAGTTTATTTCTTGCTAGCTCGGCTTCAGGACACCATAGTAGAAAATATAAATAAACCGTGAAGAAACAACCTAGATCTATGCAATTTCAGCAATGGCATAGGCAATACAAGCTGGCAACCTTTCCTTTGACAACTTAGAGGCAAAGTTCAAATTCAGGCAAATTCAATAAATAAAGTTGTTCCATAATTGCTAAAATATAACGAAAGTTCTGGCGGGTTCTAGGGCAGCCGATGAGGCAAGAGTGGACGAGCGGCCAAGTTGAGCAATTTATTCCAGCTTTTTATTTTTCAGTCTAGCAACAAAAAGAATTTCGTTTGGCCTCCTAGCAAGGTGGGTCATCTTTCGGGATATCGTGACTGTTTCGCAAATTCTGAAATTCGTCAAATCTTCTCCAAATTTTAAAAGCCGTTAGTGATCCCCTCAATTAATACACTTGCTTTGATGGGAAAGACGGACGAACGAACGGGCGCATGGCAGACCACACTCACCCAGGAAGAGCCAGGTGTTTTTGTTTGCCGTGTAGGCACGCAGGTTCTGGGTGAAGGAGATCGAGACGTCAAAGTCCTGCACGAGATTGCCTCCACTGCTGTCCGAGCCCTTCCTCAGCTCCACGTACTTGCTGAAGCTGTAGTATGAGCCTGCAATGTGTAGGAGACGGGGAGCCAAAAACATGTACTGCTTGCTTCCTGCCTTGACTTTGAGGAGAGACCCATCTTCCAGAGCATTGAAAATTGCGGCAGATGTGTTCCGCTGTATTGTGCAGTGTAATGAAACTTTGAAACCATATTAATTTATTTAAATTTCCTCGGGGCCATAGAGGCATTACGAGGCAAATGAGTGCAACGAAAGATGACAAGAAAAAAACAAAAGGCAGTAATATGCTTCGATTATTGTGGCTGAAAACAGTACAAAGCGTTAAAAGCATTTTTAAATGACTGATCATGAACAATAGATAAGACACCAGGCAGGAGGTAATTCCACCCTGGGAAAGTTGTTTTTGGCAAAATGAAGCTCGAAAACAACTACCGTAAAATACTATGGAAGCGCACACTATTAAAATTTCCCGAACTCGGAAATTCCGCAAAATATACATTTAGCGCCTGTGCACCCTCTCCAAAGCACTAGCTTCAGCCGAAAATACTCACCCCGTTTCGGCGACCACGAAGCCGCCAGCGCCATATCTAGACATGGACAAGCGCCCATGTCTAGATTAACCCAGTTTTCAGTGAAAGAGAGGTGGGTGCTTCACCGGTAGGTGGGTACCTTACAACTAATATTTTGCTGGTTCTTTGTGTACATTAATGTGCCTAAAAATGTGATGCAGTGCTAAGCATCTAGCTTGGCACTGCCTTACATTCCATTACCACTGCCTTTGCCATGATGGTAAGAGAAAGAGAATATTTTTATATTTCTTTTCTAATTTGCCATATTTTAGAATAAATTGACCTGACTGTCAATTTGTGAGACGAGAGATACTAGCTGAGGATTATACAGCAATTTCTGCGTAATCAATGTTATTTTTTTAATCATAACAGCACACATTAACAATTGATAAATAATTGTATTATGTTTTATAAACACAAAGAGTTTACTGTGAATGCAAGTTAGCTAGTAAAGCAAGTAATTCATAGCATCTCTAAGCAAAATAAAACCGGCTACAGTGCAGAAGAATTCGGTTAGAAGTCCATTCAGGAACCGAATGTGACATAACTAAGTTACAGTTACAGCGAGTGTTGGTGATTGCTATGCAAGGACACCAGAAGACAAGGAGGCGACATACCAAAGGAGAACAGCACAATCAGGCAGAGGATGCTCAGCCAAACCATGATGGTGGCCAGCCAGCGCATGAGAACAATCCACAGGAAGGCAACTACCATGGCAGCCAGCAGTCCACTACAGAAAGCGTACAGCACAACTTTTGTCACAGCACCTAGAGTTACTACACCCGGTCAAACTAACGAAAATAATATGCAAAAAAAATGGCAACATTAGGTACAGGACATTGTCACATGAGTGGCAGAGTTGGCAGCGCGTGTGACCCAGCCCCATTTGGAGGCACAGGGTTTGAACCCCGCCAACAGGGTTTTTCCTTTTAAAGGGACATGCACCAGGGAAAAACATTTTTTTTTATTATTTAAGATAACTGAATGAAATTTTCACAGCTTATAGTGCTTTAACTCCTTTTCATAGGTCTAGAGTTAGTTTTGAGATAGCTTGTTTTTTTATGTTCTAGATACTATGCACACATAGAAAAAAAACATTTTTGCACAAACATGGTGCATTGCAACACACTCAAAAAGGGCCTAGTAAAATAGACTAATTTGCTCCTTTTAAACCACTGAGTGCAAGGAAGAACAAAAACAATGCGTGCGAGACCTATTTTATTTTAATTGCAAAAACACTATTTTCAAAGGCTTTTTCATTTTAAAATTTGTTTTCCCACATATACAAAAAATACATTCTAGCCAAACCTTGATATTTGCATTCTACATATTCTAAACCATGTGCAGGCCAAATGTGATAGTGATAGGGCAATATTACAAACAAAAATTCTTGCCAGCAAACTGCAAAGATGCCCCAAAATCACATAAAGAGAAAAATGTATTTGAATGTTACCATAGGTGTGTAGCGATACTTTTTCGTTGTGAGAAACAGATTTTTTTGTAAATAATCTTTCGTGAAAAATTGAAGCTACTGAAGACTGCGATAAAAATGAGATGGCTAGGACCTACTTCTCATCATAAATGTGATGACGGGAGATGTCACAATTTGAAGAACTGCGCACGCGAAAATTGCTCAAATTTATGCCGTTCTAGGCCGGGAGCTTTTCAAACATGTACTTGACTAATTTCACGGTCGTATCCGGTTCTCATTATTTTTACACATCAAATATGAACATTTAAAGATATAAACCCCAAAATAACTTTTCTTTTGCCACAATATTGCCGTTTTTCGACCCCCATATCCTCTTAACATTTGCTGCTCTACTGAAAAGTCTCAGCTCAATCTCGGCCGTTATCATGTGTTCCAGTTTAGAACCTTCAGAACACAGAATACGCATAAAAGCAGCCCTTGCATACTGCATCAGGTTAACCTAGGCTTCTGGCAGCGTTCATTCCTGTTGAGTCACACTGATATCAATGCCTGCAACTTTGGTTAATGCACCTCAAGCACTTGAAGGTTAACAATAACATGCACGGTAGAGACAACCCTCATCTCTACGAAGAAGTGCCTGAGAAAACAATTTAAAGGTCTTCAAGAAATTTAGGCATCCACAAGCCGTCATGATGGTACGTGTGTCAATCTTGGCTTGTTTTTTAATACTTGAGCAATATGAAAAATGTCACCAAGTGTTGGTCTGTTGACAATAACAACAGTAGTTACTGTTCCACTGTTGGAGTTGAGAAGCTTTACTCTGTATCACTTGAGGTGCAAGCACAGCAGAAGCTATGTGAGTGAGCTCTAAGCTTTCAGCATCCCTGCCAGAGCATGTGTGCTTATGCAGTGCAAGCGTCATTGAAGACAGCGTGTTTGTGCCGGTAACTTTGGCTTTGCTCGCACAAAAACGGGAGGAGAGTATAAAGCAAGGGCAATTATGCCTGGTGGTCTTACTATTGTGAGAACCATAGCAACAGCTCTGGACGCACAATTGCAACACTGCCGAGTTGTTTCGTATTCCTGCTGCATCCAGCTATTATATATAGGGGGGAATCTTAACACAATTGACAGCAGTGTCAGTAGTGCAAGATCTTTTGTTGCTGAGTGAAAGCCAATTTAACTTGGTATATTTTCAACCTAGACACATTTTTCATTGACACGTTAGCCCGTTAACTTCCTTCAACAATGGCATATACACTTCACATTGTTTTATACCACAGTGAATTAGGGTGACCACCTTCCTGCTAATGAAATGCAGGACACACTGAATGGGGGGTAAGAGAAGAATGGTATTATCGCAACTGTGGCAATAACAAAAAAGAAAAACTATTAGAGGAAATTTATTAACACGCACACCACGAAATCTGGCTCTGCTAGTGCAATTAACATCCTGTGTTGCCCGAACGCATATTACACAGCTGTGAACTGTATTGTGGCAATTAAAACTAAAACAATTTTCACCACCAGTGATATATATATATTTTTTTTTAGTTTTTAGGCCAAATTTATTAAATGTGTTTAAGTTGAAAACCCAAAAACTGACTGCAGCAAAACTCAATGCATCAAAAAGAAATTAAAAAAACAATATATATTTTTTGGTTTATTGTTTTTTCTGGATGCTTACGTTTACCAACATGCTTCCTACACAAATTTAGATCTCCATGTTTTTTTTTCTTGTTTTTTTTAGACCGTTGTGATTTGTAGATTATTTGCCTTGTGTGGTAGAGCTTCACGAAAAAAAAAAAGAAAAGAATGTTCCACAGCAACCTTTTTGCATTGGCACAGCTTGATTTGAAATTACAATAACTTATTTTTCAACTTATAAAGAGCAATTTTTTCTTGCAATATTTTTCCAACAAGGGGAGAGGTGCAGCAGCGCATGCACGTCAGATCTCCTGCAAGAACGACAATTGCTTCCCGCAATGCTTGAACAGAAAATGGCGTACCATTGCAATTCACGCAATTACCAGCGACCTCCACGCTTCCCCATGCCAGGTTGTTCAACAGCTCCACAAGTTAAATTGTACCTTAAAAGAACCTGTCACAACCACGAGTGTATACCTTGGTGCCACTGCTATACTTCAAAGGCATTCTTGCTGCTTAAGCAAGCATACACTCAAATCTCCTGTCAGAAAGCTAAGTTTTCATTGGTGGGAGCAGCTCTAGAGACAAGAAAAAAAAATCTCCTCAAAAACAGAAAAAAGACTATCTCCTGGCACTCTCCAATTTCTTTTTGGAGGCCTCAAAAATGTGGCTGGTAAAGTTCATCTAAAATAGTGACAAAAGCTACTAGTTCCAATCGGAAGAAGAAGTCATGACCCCTTCATATGCTAGACAACAGCCCGATTTATAGTCTAGAACGCATCATACCTTTTTTTGCACACAAGCCACCCAAAATGCAGTTTTGAACGCTGCTAAAACACGCGAGTGTGTGAATGTCCCCCGACGATATGAAACTGTTCCCGAAGAGGAACTCACATGAGCATGAGCGGCCATGCAGTCTTGAAGTCTTGGAAGGCCAGCTCGCCGGCATCCTTCGCACTGGACAATCCGGCCAAAACCCTGCAAAGGTGCAGCAGAAAGGAATTGGTAAGGATCTTTGAGGTGGAGTAATTGCGTTGTGTGCGTGCTAGGTGGTGGGAAGTTAGCCCCAATGTGCATCTGGTGTCTTCGAGGCACTTAAACAAGCCTCTACAAGAAAACATATGTAATGCTATAACTTATATTCCATTCACCCCCAGGCTGATAGCAATGCTGTATCTGTAGGAATTTCTTTCGGGAGGGGGGGGGTTGGGTCAAACTGCAGGTGTATCTGAAGCCCCATGAGCCTCCCCCCTGGCTACGCCTCTGGGTGATAGCACTGTGGAAAGCTACGCACTCGTTGGGCCAGTCATACCGCAACATTTTGCCACATGACCACACTCTCACCTATACCCACGTGTAGAGAATGGGGTCGTGTGATGAAAGGGAGGAGGGCAACTGGTCCAGCAAATGTGCAGCTCCCACCACACTGTCAACATTGCTGTGACTGGAGTATAGTGAATATAGGTAGGGTTTTAGAAGTTTCACCTAGCAGTAGTCTCGAACGACTCTTAAAATAACCGAAACATTACAAATATTACTCCCATTTTAAAGGTTTGTTAAGGGGGGACACTACCCAGAAAAACCAATTTCTGCAAAAAACGTAGATTTTCAAAAATGTAATATTTACATCCACCAACATCTAGAGAGTCTTCTCAGAAAGTTTCATTAGTTTACACTATATAGTTAATTTTTTATAAATTATTTTCGGTTCACCAATGCTAAGGAAAAGGTAGAGGTTGGAGCAATTTGAACACATTTTTCTCCATCCCACTTTTTGGCATACATTTCACTTTAGGAATACTATTGTTTTGTGATTATGTAACCTGGATTCATTTTTATGAGTTTTTCTGGTGTGAAATTTTAAGGGGAAGATAGCTATGAGCTTGTATTTTTTTTATTTCTGCCATTTTTCATGCTCAAGAACTAAAATTTTGGACAAAAGGTGGAAAACTAAAAAAACATTATTTGTGTTTATGTGGCTTTTTTGTAATGAAAGATGGCAAAATATAGAAGCATAGCTTCATAGCTATCTGCTCTGAACTGTCCCAAAGCAATATAACACCTAAAACCGACAAATTTTTAAGTAATTTCAAATGATAGTTTTCCTACGCAGACACGCCCACTTTCATCTTTGAACATTCGCAATTCTTTATGTACTTCACCCAGGTTAACAAAATTTGGCAGAAATGTTCTCAACATGAACAGAAACAAGCCTTGTAAATTCCATTTAAATCAGACAAGTGGTCCAAAAATTGACTTTTTTGGGTAGTGTCTCCCCTTAAGGGTGTTTCTATCTGCATTTTTATGCCTCTAACTCAATCCATGTGCTTCAGTAAGGCTCAGAAAAGATTTTGTACATATGCAGTTCCCACCTATGTATATAAAATGCAATTCAAGAAAAAAGATGGCAAATTTAATATACAAAGTGCAAATACAAGTTTCCTATAAAAAATTTTCAAAGCAACTCAGGTTCTCCTTTGCCCCCCCTTTTTTTTTTGGCACATATCTAGAATATGTGTAACTTATCTGTTTAAGCCATAGGAAACCATATGCTGGATTAGCCAGAATATGGTTTCCTATGCAAAAACCCTCCAACATTGAAATTTCGAAAAGTAGATCCAAACTTAAAATTACTTTTAATTCTGCTGAGTGTAAGCACTGGTTGTATGTATTTGCCATAGGTGCCTTGTTTCAGCAAAACGTGATGACTCATAATTATAAGTTATTTTGTCCTTAATAGTCAAGAGCACAGCTTCAGAAGTATCAACAGGCCCACTTTTTAGAAATATACATAAGGTTAGAGGGACACTAACACCCCCCCAAAATTTTTTTTAATATATTTTTTGTTAGGCGGTTTAATATGGTGTCAGAAGACCATCCAATCAATATTTTGCTACAGCGTCACATATATCTAAAAAAAAAAAAAAACGCAAACTGCTTGAAATTAAAATCGAAACTGGGCTGGGGAGGAAGAAGAAATATACAGGAGGAGAATGTTACCAAAAATCAAGTAGTTCTGCTATTTTTTTTTTTTCAATCAACGTGTTTGCAGTTTTTTAGAAGCCACAAAAAATGGGTATCATATTTATTTTTATTTCTAATACTGATTGTGTGCCTTCGATGACCCACGACCTTGATTATCTTTGGTGGTTGTGTCTAAACCATAGAAAACGGCACATAACCACAGAGAATAGAGTAAGCGTGACTCAAACCGGCCAAATCTCGATTGGCAGTTTTTGGGCAGAAAGAAAACGAATTTCGAACCGCAAATTGTGCTTTGGGTACTTGGGCTCTCATATGTCATGAACAAACAAAAACCTTGGCGAGCGTAAATACCCCGTCAGTGTCCCTTTAACAATCTGTAGCCCACTGACAAAGGGCATACTTGAGTGCAATACTGAGTTACCTCCTGCAAAAACGAAAGTGCAACAGAATTACATACCACCTTGCTGAAGTGCTATGGCACAAAAATAATTAAAAGGACACAAGGAAGTTCTAGCACCATATAGCATAAACAAGAAACTGGTCTTGGTGCTGACATTCAAAACTAGTTATAGTCTTACTGATACACACACAAACACTGCAGATTGCTATTGTCATTTAAGAGAAAACTGATTTTGTGGCCCCTGAAAAAGCTTCCCCCACCATTTCACCCAAAAACCGTGAGTAGTGCAATTTCTGGACTCTGCAGCAAAGCACAAGGCGTAGTCGAAGATGCCCAGAAACCATTAAAGAACATGCTTAGGCTGGTTTCACCATGCACGGCAAATATACCATAGTAGAAGCTTGTGTGTGAAGAATTCAGGGGGATGTGTTTGGTCATTCACAACACTTACATTTCTGTGTAGCCTCTGTATAACGGAACAAAATATGAGGAGAGTAATTATATTGTGAAGCATTGAGCAGATTTCTAATAGCTAAACAAATAAAACTAAACACTCAATGAGCTTTGAACTCTCACATAAGAGGGGATTTTAGCACAAGAAAATATGATACAGTAAGCATAATTAAACCACAAATGTGCTAAGAACTTGAAATTTTCAAAAAAACAAACCTGAAATTTGGTATTTGTGTACTGTAATTTTGTTAGAAAGTCATTAGCACTGAATTTTCATCCCTATAGAACTATCCAATAATAGCATGGCATTTTAAATAAAATTTTCAATAGATATATGCATTGCGGCTGGAGAAAAGAAGCTTGCTGACCTGTGAACTTCGGAATCATTATACCTAAGTACTCACTCAAATATCAAAAATTAGCCCAATAGTCTAGGGTGCCATGCTTTTGGATGATTCAATAGGGATTCGAAATGCACTTGCCAGTAAAAATACTGTGAAGTATGATTTATTCTAGCAACTCCAAACAGGTTGCACACAGTATGATTTGTTTGGAAAACTAGGATTAGTGCTCGTGGCTTTGTTTCTGTTGCACCGGAGGAGCTGCCTGGGTGGTTCACTATGTTTCCGGTCTAGTTCCAAAAATCAGATAAGGTCAGTGATTCAATTCAATCTAACTACCGTAAAATACCAGGGAAGAACCCATCTCACTTTCACCGAAAACTTGGTTAATCCATACATGGGCGCTTGTTCGGTCTAGTCGGTAATCAGGATGGCGGTCAACATAGAGCTTTGAAGGCAGGGTGAATGGAATCAGAGAAAGCACATTCATTTTCACATAATAAATGATGGGGGGACACAAGTACCTACTCAACGTCGGTGAACTCAGAAAGTGTCCCTTCCGAGTCCGTGCAGAATAGGATCTCAATGCTGTTGTTAGAAGTAGTTTTTTCTTTCCATCGCAATAAAGCGCATATCCTTGTCATCACCACTGGCGGTCTCGTGGCTGCCGCAACGGGGTAAATATTTTCGGCTGATGCCGGAGCTTTGGAGGGGGTGGGTGCTTAAGCTATAATTTTCAGAATTCCCAAGTTTGGGAAATGTTAATGGTGGGCACTTGTACGAAGTTGGCGCTTCCGCGGTATTTTATGGTAGCAAACAAAAGATGTGGTCGGTGAAACTCCACAACAGCATGTGTCTACAAAACGAGTTTTTGCAGAATGTGTTTCTACTTAACGAGTCTCGATGAAATATTTGCCGGCGAAACGAGTCCTGACTAAATGAGCCTTGACGAAACGAGCCCGACGAAATGAGCCTCAACGAAATGAGCCTTAACAAAACGAGTCCTGACCAAATGATAACCAATGAAACGATTTTCGACAAAACGAGCCCCGACGAAACGAGCCCCAACAAAACGAGCCTCAACGAAACGAGCCTCAATGAAACAAGCCTTGACAAAACAAGTCAAGACAAAACGAGTCGAGACAAAATAATACGGAGCCATAGGCCGCACAAGAGAAAGCCGCAACTTCAAATGCCTAATGAGTGCACATCAGAATACATTTTTTCTATCACCAATTTCCAATAATTTTAAGGTGCCATATTGGCACCAACCCTTTTGAACGCTAGGCCATATGACCTTGCCAATAAAAATGTTACGTACCAACCGTCTTTGCGCTGGTGAAGTTAGCTTAGTAGTCTTTTTCTGCACTTCACAGTTATGAGCGTTGAGCGAAATGGTACAGCCATAATAATCTATCAGTGCAACACTCAAATGCAAAAACACCGCTCAAATGAAATTATCGCCTCACTTTGTGTTCTTCGAAATCCCGCTGGCCGAAAAAGCAGCAATGACGCCACCGTTGAGTTCGTCTTTCAGCTGGTCCCCCTCCTTGACCAGGCGTCCTGGCAGGCACCTCCTTGCAACTGCAGGAGAACGGAGCAGTTATTTTGCAAACGTCTGATCAACAACAGTTATAAAAAAAAAAGAGTTCTGATGAATTGAAGAAACTGCGTGCATTTGGATTAAATTCAGGATGCAGTCAAGATGCATAACATGCCCGAGTTACTATCTGTTTGCCTTGCTGGGGCTATATGTAAGGAAATCTGCTAACTGTACATAAATTAGTAGTATACCAACTTAGTGATGGGATGTCTGCCAAGATGGAGCAAGAGACGCTTCATACAGAACAGCATATTTAAGTTGCTAATATTAGTTCTTACAATATAAAAGCAAATTTTTACATGCATTTTTCAAATGCTAGTGCTAGTTTATATGCCACATAAAAGTACTTTTTTATGGCTGATACACCAAACCAATTAACCCTATCCGGCGAACTGCAGCGAAGGACTGGGAATTAATTTAAACTGCCAAGCAATCTACGTGTAAATGAAATCTTAGTTACTTAGGCTCATCTGCAATAAGCCTCCGTTAAATTGCAAACTCCTCAAAAGAGATTAGGGCAGCCAACTAAGGATCTATAGGCCAGTGCTTTGCCTTATAGCCATAAAGTGTTTGAAATATAGTTTTTGTGTTTGTGCTCAACTATAACAACTTCACCACAAAAGGTTTTTGAATTTCAGCGGCTTCATGATGATTATTCCATTCTATCAGTACAGTCCACTCAACTGCATATTTTAACAACTTGCAGACATTTATATCTAAAATGTGTGCCTAATTTTCATTTATGAATGTCCAAAAGATTTAATTTCAGCGGCTTCATAATGATTATTCCATTCTATCGGTACAGTCCACTCAACTGCATATTTTTAACAACTTGCAGACATTTATATCTAAAATGTGTGCCTAATTTTCATTTATGAATGTCCAAAAGATTTAATTTACAATTCTCCAATCAATTATGAATGCACAACTTGGTGTCGAATCCATAACAGCTCAAGTTAATTGTTATATGCAAAACATGATGGCCTTAAAAAAACAAAAGTGCATCCCCATTCTTTCTTACTATACACTCACTGAGACTTAAGAACAGATTTAGGTGACAATGCTGCGTAGTCAACAACAAGCACAAAAAAGTGGACTTGTAGAATCAACATTTAAATTAGTAAATTTCAACAAAATGCCACGTCACCAGGTGAGGGACAAACACCAGATAGATAGGGTGTTCATGCCTCACCTGGTACATAAAAGACCAAATCAGGCACAATGTTTTTCAAAGAGTTTTGGAAGTCACTAAAATTCCTCAGTACGTAACTGCATCTGTATAATGCTTACGAGAACAAAAAGTCATATTTCTACATTTGGTTTTGAAAAAAAAGTCCTTAAACCATATAGCAACATGCCATGAGTGAATGTGGACATCAAGTAGCACTTTAAGAGGGTTTTACTAAAACAAGGGTATTTGAACACATATTATATTTTATAAACCAAAGCTCAAAGATGCAAGAAAAGAAGCATATGCAAGGAAACAACAAAAAGCCGCAAAAAAGCAGAATGCAATACTTGCCAAATAATGAGGTACTAACTACTACTATACAGGGCATTTGCTTCTAGCTGCATCACATTTCTAAAAAAAAAAATAGGAGTTGCATTAGAACACTTACTTTTTGGATTAGCTTACCCAACTTGACGACTACTAAAAACAAGTTTGTTTGTGCCATTAGGTGGCTAATTGATGGACATATTTTAATTAACTTTTTAATTAATGACTTTAAGGGCATAATGCATTTATAACATTTATGTTCAACCTCCAGGCTGTATGCCCCAACCACAAGCTCTAATAAACATGCAAGCATTTGGGCACTACCGGCCAAATTTTAGTTACAAAGGCTTCCTCAAACCGAAACTAACTTGGGAAAGGGCGCAGCGACGTCAATATCTCTGCCCTCACGTAGTGTCACAGTAATGACATCCCTGTATGTGACGCGGGCACCCCCACCAACACTATCGCGATATGTTTATCTTTTCTTTTTTCACTTTCGGTGCAAGTTGTAAATCTCAGCGTCTGCTGTCCACGTGCCCTTTCATCCTCATCCCGTAGGCACCACGCTGCGACCCTTGCCTTCTTTATCGATACAATAAAAGTTGTTTTGCAAAAGTGTGCAAATAGCATTAAGGATCGATAAATGCTGCGTCATCCCCCGCTTCTCTCGTAGAAAACGCCACAAATTTGGCGCCGACAGCAGACGCCAAGATGTACAGTTGACACTGAAAGAATATAAGCGAAAATCCAAAGATAAACATACCGCAATAGTGCTGGCGGGGCTGCCGCATCACAGGTAACGTCGTTACTGCGACGCTACGCGAGGGCGGACATAATGGTGTCACTGTCGCTCTTTTCTAAACTAGTTTCGGTTTCAGGAAGCCCGCGGAACTAAAATAATTTGGCTGGTAGTGCTCAAATCCTTTCATGTTTATTACGGCTTGCAGTTGGAGCGTACAGCCTGAAGGTTGGATATCGATTTCATAAATGCAACATGACCTCTAAAGCCAATAATTAAAAGGTTCATTAAAATATCTCTGATAATTAGCCGCCTAACTGCACAAACAACCTTGTTTCTAGTGGTCGCCAAGTCGGGTAAGCTAATCCAAGTAAAAGTGCCTAAAGCAACTTTTATTTTTTAAGAAATTTGGTGCACCTAAAAAAAAAACACCTTGTGTGAGAATTGTGTTAAAACTATGTACTATACAGATGTACTATAAAAAGCCAAGTATATGGCAAAACCAAAGTAACGTGTGCTAAAAGCCTTTAGCAATGCATCATCATTAATTAAACAGTTTTTTCTCGGAAATTTTATTAACCTCATATGTCTTCATATAAATTATTAATATCAGTAAAATAAAGTGACACTCAAAAAGAGCCCAAATAATGAAGTAATCTGAAAGTATTAGGAACTGCGGAGCAACATTCACGAAAGACTGGTGCATAGATAGAGGAGTTTACCTTTCAACGCATAACCTCGAGGAAGACAATATTGCCTCGTATTGAAGACTCTAAACTGCGCTTCCCGACGCTTCAGTAGAACTTCTCTACCAGTAGTAAATTTTTGTAGAAAACAATTGCATTTTCTCACATCTATCTGGTTCGATTTCTACCGTCAGTGACCCTGACTTGTTCAATCAATTGTTTGCTGTTACCTTATTAGTACTGTTCCTTTGCTACAGTTTTACTCCCTATTTGTCCTCGAGTCTTCTCTCCCCCTCTTAAATGCCTTCAGGTCCTGAGGGAACATCCAACAAATGAATAAATAATTAAACAGATGTTATCAGTACCTAGAAATACCTGCACTAGTATAACAAGCATACTTAACCAGTTTTACTTCGCTACAGAGGTTATGCTGCAAATTTTATGCGAAGATGCATGCCACGCAAAGATTCTTTCAGAAGTCTAATTATTATGGCCCATGCAGGTGCACGCACTCAGTGGGGTGCATAGTGTAGAGTAAGACGTTGGCAGTATTGCAGTGCTGGTGGTGTTTGGTGTCAGTTCGGCATCCATTCTCATTCCTGGGGTGCAGGCTAAGCAGACGGCGAGAGAGGCCGCTCCGCGTACCCACTTACTCACAGGGGGCTCTGGCTCCAGCAGTTGGGCCAGACGACGGCCCTGGCATTTTGAGACGACGTTGAGAAAGGAGGAGAGAAGGACGGAGAGAGAGAGAGAGGCGGGACAGAGAGAGATCATGTGAACGAGAGGACTGCACTCTCGTGCCGGGGAGACCGATGAAAATGCACCGCAAACCGAACGAAAGGAGTACGGTATTCAGTTCGAGTATGGACAGTCTGTACTTACCGCTGCTGCTTTTGAGGTAATACTTAGCACAGCGCTGGTCCTTGTTGACGAGGTCATCAACCTGCAGGTACCAGTGAGGACAGTCATTAGAGTAATTAATTCCACCACTTAAGAATGATTTAGAGCTAGCAGGACAATATCTTTCATGGACTCGGGAGTCTTCTGGAAAGAGTCAATTTTCACTTGACTTGGGACGATCGACAGAAGAAGCGAACATGCGAATTTTGAAGAGACCATTGAACGATTGAGAATGCTAGGGTGATGATGAGGAAACTCTTCATAATGTCATAAGGAGAATGAAAAAAAAAAGGAAAAGGAAGTGTTATTGTTTAGGTTAGTTTCAGCTTAAATTCTGACGGCACTATAAGTCCTTGTTACTACTCAATCCGCTTTCCAGTCCAAAACGGAAAGTCGGCGATTGGCAGCGTGCTGCCACAAGAAGCCTTTACTCAGAAAAAAAAAAAAAAAATAGTGGGGCTATCCGATTACAAGGAATTATCCATCTAGTTGAGCTTCCAAGATAGGCAACAATAGAGGATGGACAACAAAGCAAAACCCCAAAAGTACCCCTCCAAAAAAGCTCCAACATCCCATAACTAAACACCTGAGGCACGAAGAGTGCCACATGAACATCGCAAAAGTAATGCAATTTACAAGGAAGAGTGAGAAGAAGCATACTCTTTTCTTACTGCCAGCAACTGTTTCCTTGCCTTTTTAATTGAGCCCAACTCAATATAAGGTTTCAACTCGAAATTATGACAAAATAAAGCTATTGCTCTCAATATAATACCCATTTGTAGTCGCCGGCAGACTGAGAATGGCAGAGAGAACCTCTAGTACTCCCACCTTGAGCAAAAGTTTCTTACATTCAATACTGCTTCGGTGCTATGTGGGCGTTAAGCAAGCCCTGCCATTCTTATCCTGTCAGCTGTCACAGGTTTTAGTCCCGTGCCATTGAGATTCAATATGTGCGGCGTGGTTGTGAAACATCACAGGCTGGTTTGTAGGTGTGGCAGCCAATTGTTGACAATATCTTGGCGCATAATCATTGTAATTTGGTGCAGGGTAAGAAATAAAAATCAAGATGATTTAAATTGTGATTTAAATCATAGCAGTTTTACTGGAATAATTTAAATCAAACCCTCCACACAAAAAAAAAAATTCCCAAAAAACTTTTTTATTTGGTGTGTCCATTATTTTAAACATTTTCTGTCAAATTGTTTTGTATTTAGCTAAAATAATCACAAAGCAAGAAAGATTGCGGCAGGTTGAACGCAAGCCAAAAGCAGCGCTCACCTGAGCAAATCGAAACATTGAGTTTTCTTTTTGACCTTTTACTTCATAAAAAAAAAAAAAAAGCCATGTTGCGAGGAAATATAAACGTAAAACATGCTATTATGCTAAAATGTTGCGCAAGTTACAGGAAGCACATGTACACGTCATTCTCAATATGGTGACATACCGCGGGCTAGACGATGCAATGGCGGTGCAGGACGAACCAACATCGCGATGAACGGGAGTACGCTACTTCGGCACTGTCATTTGTGGCATTGGCCAATCGATCTTCAAGCGCAGAACATCATTGAGCGGAAGGGATATTGGTGCGAAACGATTGTACTGTCAAGACCGGTTATAACGAAGTCGGTTATAACGAAATAGCAGCTACAGCGAAGCAATCAAGATTTCCGATTGCCGTTTTTGCACTTCGTTAACCGAAGTCGGTTATAACGAAATAGCGGATATAGCGAAGTGATTTCCGATTGCCGTTGACTTCATTATAACCGGTCTCGACAGTACGATGAACGGTGCATGCAACTTCAGCGTCTGCTTCAAACACCGGTAAAGCGGAGGAAACAAAAATTGCGATCGGGTGTAAGCTACAAGACTTCCAGCCCTGAACTTCTGTGCTCGTGTTTTGATTTTGCTTTCGAACAGTTGAATTTTTTGGCTTTATTGCTCTGCAGAAAAATACTTGATTGGGTAGTCTACTGGCACCACATTAAATTTCCTAGCAAATATTAAACTATAAACATTTTTGGGAGGTGTCAGTGTCTCTTCAAAAGAGCTGTGCAACAATTTTAACGCTGAAAGAATTGGCATCGTTTACTCTCGACACTGTTTACCTTGTCATAAAGGACAGAAAACACATCTTCTTCCTTCGAATTGTTGCAATTCCGCCGCATAGTCGCGAGACAGAAATTAAAATATTTCCCAACCTGCAGCCGCGAGCGGCGGCCATGAGAACTATGTGGCATGACCTCAACGGGGGAGTTGTAAAAAGATAGGAAGCTGTGCAAATACCTGCTCGATAAAAGGTAATTTTTCTATACATCTTGTCGTTCCAACATAACTATAAATGCATCAAAAACCCGGTATCATTGATAAAACTTTCATTGTATGCAGTTTTAGTGGTGCCATCTATCCGAGGTCAACAAAACCATCAGCTCTATCTGCTACCGCGAACAGCCGCCAGAAGCCGGAGGGGAAAGGGGGCAGATAAAGGGAGAGAGCTTCACCGTAAATATGCGCGTCCCCCATTTACGTCACAGCGCACGTGACTTAGAAGGTGAAGAAGGAGTTGAGAGGTGCCGAAAACCTTTGTCAATTTTTAAAATGAAAACTACAACATGCAGGCAAATGCGTTTTTTTTTTTCTTTACTTCAGAGAGGTCAAGACAAAAACTCCCAAATAGTTTAAGCAAAGCACTGAAATTGTTGTACAGCTCTTTTAAGGAGGTTATATGTTACTCAATGTTTTGCCATCACAAGTTAGTTCAAGTCACTGAAACGGTTAAGGAGAGCTTAAAGAAAACAAAAAGTGGAGTTTTTTTAAATGCTGACAAGCAATTTTTACATAGTTAGAAAAATGAGCTGCATGTGTGCAGTAATAACAGAACTACAATAATGACTAAACACATTTTTCTCGCATATTTGTAAAATGCACTGAAAGACTATCATTTTGACATATTTTGCGTGGCTGTACATCATGTAGTTCGTTGGTAAATAATTTGAGAACGTGTCCCTAAAACATGTTCATTTGACGTGTTTCGTAAATTTTTTTTGCATAAAAATATTTTATTATAATTTTTAATATTCCGTGTACATGTAAACCCTCCATAAAATAAGTAAAAAACATATTAATACATGCATCCTTAGCTGTGAAATTGACGGCTGTGCAAAGTACCATAACAAAACCTTGGCAACCTCCACGCTTCTTTGACCTGACATGGCAACACCGATATTGTATGCAAATTCCTCACCAAGCTGCCATGCAATTTAGTTTCAATGGCAATTTCTTGCTGCACAAAGCTTTGTGAGATAAGCCTGTCTATAGTGCAGAGTTAACCAATTGTAATGTAGCAGCCCCCCACGAAAATTAGGGTGTCTAGGTGAAATATAAGAGTTTTTTACCGTTACAGACTTGTCCAAAGGATCGACTCCGTACTGGCAGATGAGCTTCGATCGCAATTCATCCTTGTTACCTTTGGCATTATCGACAGAAAATGTTTCATTTGGACAGCGTTCTACGCACACCTGAAACGACAGAAGAAATGGAAAACAAGGTTAACCACCAAATGCTCAAAAGCGAACAAAAGCAGGTAGAACGCCTACAGAACTTTAGAGAAACCCTCGAGACTGGAAAAAAGAAGAAGGACTACACAAAAAACAAAGTCTTAAACACAGCTGAATGTTATTCCACAGAAGTTTGTGTTTATATAGAGTTTTACTGCCCCCCTACCAAAAGAAAAGAGAAGGAAAGTGAGAACACTCTTTAGACAAATGCATAAGACCTTGAAGGACTTGGCAGAAAACCGAAAAAAGTTGGGTCGAACCTTAATGATTTCACCCGAACATCCTGGTAAGGCAAACAAAGAAAACTAGAACCCCCCTTACCCGGAACAAACCAACAGGCCCGTCGGCAAAAACCTCGAACTTCTAAACACTCAAATGAACACAAAACAAAAGAAAGGACACAGAAAGATAGAGAGCTAGGGACAATAAAGGACCATACCGACACATAGGTTGGTGGGTGACATTGCTCAAAACAAAACAGGGCAATCAGATTTGTAGAAATCTTCTTAACTTCATGTCTAAGCTAAGGGACAGAGTATTAACTGCATTAGCATGATTAACGATAATGAGACTCTTTTACTAACTGTTTGTGGTCATCTCTCTCGGTTAAGATAACTGAGGTGGAATGCCAAAGCGGTACACAATTATTACATTCAATCACATGTTTTGACAACTCTGAGTAGGGGTCCCTGTTCTTAACGCAACGTTTGTGTTCGTTTAAACGGTCATTGAGGCAATGTTTGGTTTACCCTATGTGGCCGAGGTCACAATCGAAAGGAATTCTGTAGACTACACCAGACACACAATTAACAACTTTTTCTCTGTGCTGTTTAGCACATGGAGTCTTCGTGGAAATAAACGGCGTCAATCTATTTAGCCTAAAATCATTCTTAAACAATGTGCCGATACTGTAACGGTTGCCAACTGATTTTAGATTGTGGGAGATGCGATAGAAAAAAGGAAGAACTATACCGTATTTACTCGAGTAATAGCCGCACTGCTTACGCAGAAAACCTGAGGTTTCGCTTTTCCGCGGAGCACGCAGATTGCCAATCACCGCGATCGACAGCATGATTCCAGTTGTTTACAGGACATAGATAACGTTTTCGTGCGAAGATACCATTTGTGAAGTTTGCATTTGTATGGAGAATTGTGTTCTTCATCTTGTTATTTGCTATGTTATTTATGAAAAACGCAATGATTGGCTGTATATGTGTTCTGTGGGAATGCAGACGCAAGGGCCTTGTTCATAAATAGTGCGGCTATTACTCAAGTAAATATGGTATGTGTTTGGTGGGTTCGAGAGTCCCCCGAGTTTTTTCTTTTTAAGTGAAACAAGATACAACAACTGTTTGGAAAGATAATCTTTCGGATAGCTACAATAAAACGGTCAAAAAGGCGTTGTAGCGAAGACCTAATAGAACACGAACACTATCTTTTCATAGCACTCTTCACAAGGTTTCGCACAATGCCAGAAATCACATTTATCGAATGGCAGCTACAAAAAAGGTAGAATTGCTTTGATGTAGTTTTGCCATATTGCCAACACACTCTAGACGGAGTTTACAACTGAATATCTAAAAACTGCAGGTGATCGCTTTTTTTGCCTTTCCACTGAAAACTGCAGCTCAGGGGCACTTTCACACACAAAGCCTTGTAACGATGCGGAAAAAAAAGGGTCAGTAGTGCAAACCAAAATGTCGTCCACATAACGTCTTATAAGTATGTCATCAGGAGACATGTTCTGAATGAAACCATGGAGTAAAAGATCTAAAGAACCTAGGTAAGTCTCTGAAAGAACTGGGGCTACTGCTGAACCAATACATACTCCTTGTTTCTGGATAAAGATTTTATCATTATACTTCATTACCATTGCCTGTAGATATAACTCTAAAATTCTGAGGAGATCCGACACAGCGATTCGGGACTGTAATTGAAACCTGACAAGATCATTTCCCCAAAATTGACTAACATGACTGAGTGAAGTTTTAGTTTCAAGCGAATAATAGACGTCCTTTATGTTCATCGTAAAAATAGAGAAAGGCCTGCCATGGAACGGTTGTAACTCTGTAACCAAATCATCTAAGCAGCACAGAGACAACGGACCTCTGACCTCCAAAACTGAAAGTGCACCTTGAAGATAAGAAGGAACAACTTTTGCCATGTACTATTTTCATTGACTACTTACTACACGGAGAGGAAAGTCGCCTTACGATCCTTGAGGAAAAACTTAATATTAAAAGTAGCACAAGATACTATACCATTCAGCTTTGAGACCAAAGACGGAAACTCACTCTCATTAAGCATGCCAACAACTTTGCTCTTAATATGTTTCAAATTTCCGTCAAACTGTTTGAAGACCCCTACGGCTATGTCAGATTTTTTTCGAAACTCATTTATTGGCAACACAGCAAATTTCCAAGGTTTGACGGTTTCAAGGAGTGTGATCTTTTTCCCTTAGCTCCTTCTTCACTAAAGCAATTTTTCAAAAATCTCCCTGATCAGTCCTAAAAGATAACACAACCAAGGAGGACATTCTTTTCAACGTCGATGAAAAAAGTGTGTTCTTTCCCGCAGCACCTCTTTGCTCTATAAAGTTTTGAAGAGTGGTAGAAATAAGGGATTTTATTAGGGCTGGGCAATTGATCAAGTAACTTCCCAATTAATCAATTAAAAGTTTAATTGTGACAAATTTCTGAAATCAGTCAGTCAGTTACGTTAGGAGTTGGAAAAATTTGTGGATTTAGCAGTGTTCTCTTCTATGATTAAGCACTTTAGCATTTCATATTGCCACGCGCGTCACCGAGCGATCATGTGCATGGTCAAATGGTTACCGCACGTGACTATCGTGTGGAAGGAAGGTTCCCACTGGCGACGTCACGATGAAGTTTCTTCATCGCTTTTTCCAGCATAGACAGACTGGGTTCCATTCCAGCGAGCGGAATGTTCTTTTACTTATTCTTCCAACCTGGCGTTCTCGTGAGTTTGAGAACATTCTCGTCTGATCGAGTTTTGAATGTTCTATGCGCCGAACGTTCTGGGCCGAATGTTCCAGAAACCCACGCGGCTACTAAAGGTGCTCTGCGTGGTGAGCCGCAGTCAGGCTCGCTCTAGCACTCGATCCTGCTGCTTCGCCGACATCGACGTCTGTGAAGCTAAGTTGTTTCTATTTTATTTTGGGCACAAGTTCGCCCCATTAAACGTTTAGTTTTTTCAGTTATTCTTCGCTTCATCATTTGTCATTTGTCACAATATGACTATGATCCAGAACAAATATGAGGAAGAAATAAAAATGCAAAACTATTCATGTTTACGATTGCTTTCACACATTTTCTTCTTGAGGACGGTACAGCATCAAGTTCCAGACATATATTCCCCCATTGATGACAAAATAAACAAACAGTAAGAAAAGACAATGTGTAGTTTTGACACTTCTTTATATTTATACCTAAAGGTGAAAACGACCGATTAATTGATTAAGTAGGTAATTAAAAAGTACCAATTAATTGAGTTGAACATTTCAACCAACACCCAGGCCCCATTTTTATAAGTTTAGTATATCCGTAAACAAATGCCTTAGCACCACTGTAAAGTTGTTGAGTATCTTAGTCAAGGCATCAATCATTCATAAAATATCAAATAAATATAAAACAACAAATATTAAAATATATTTAAACAATGACCAAATAACTAAGCACCAGACGTCAACCTACCTGAGGTGTGTTACAAATGAGTGACGGAAGCAGATCGCCAGGCTTGTAGGCCCTTTGCAAGCACTTGGTGATGTCAAAAAAGTAAAGGTACTTTTTGTCCCTGAAAAAGATGAGAAAAGAATGAACAATTGCAAAGTATGTTAGATTGTGAATTACCTTACAGAAATTAATTTCTTTTTTTCTAACTAACACGGCTTCCGTAAAGAGAAGTCGTGTGAAACTCAGTTATTTGAATTTATCACTGATATCCATGACAACATTCATTCACAAACGCAAACTGACGCTATCTTTATCGATTTTTCGAAAGCGTTTGATCGGGTCCCGCACCTGCGTTTGATAAGTAAACTTAAGTCACTTAACATGCATCAGTCTCTTGTAGACTGGATCAAAGAATTCCTTTCTGAAAGAACTCAATCAGTCTCGATCCATAACGACTCATCTCGAAGTATCTCAGTAAAATCCGGTGTCCCGCAAGGCTCCATCCTCGGCCCTCTTCTCTTTTTAATTTACATTAATGATCTACCTAACTTAATTTGTTCAAAAATTCGACTATACGCTGACGACTGCGTAATATACAGGCGCATTATCTCGAACGAAGATAGCTTCGCCCTCCAGCGTGACCTTGATTCGCTATGGTTATGGTGCGTTAAATGGCAAATGGATATCAATATTACAAAGACCAAGCTTCTTACTTTTGCTACAATTAAGTCTAAGTCTGCCTTTGATTATAAAGTTAATGGTGCAATTCTTGAAAATGTAACTCATTACAAATACCTCGGAGTATTTCTAACGGATAATCTCGACTGGAAAATGCATATTGATCATATTGTGAGCAAAGCGAATCAATCTCTAGGGTATCTTAGGAGGAACTTGTTTTTAGCACCAAGTGACGTTCGATTGTTAGATTACAAATCTTTTATTCTTTCAAAACTAGAATATGCGAGCATTATGGAGCCCATGGCAAGATTATTTAATTAGAAAAATAGAGTCTGTTCAGAACAGAGCCGTACGTTTTATTCTTAGAGATTATTCCTTTACGTCGAGTGTGACAGCACTAAAAACAAGAGCTGACCTCGTTCCTTTATGTAATAGACGGAAAGTATCACGACTGGCTTTTCTTCATCGCGTGTATTATTACAACGCTGTCCTTAAAAGTCAACTTTTACTGCCGCCCCATAGGATTTTTCCTCGGCATGATCACCGTCATAAAATTAGGCTACCCTTATGTCGCACTAAGCATTTTTCAGAGTCGCCCTTGATCTTGGCTATTCATGAATGGAATGACCTCCCTGAAAGTGTGGTTGATATCTCGGACTGTGCACAGTTTAGGAGTGTATGTGAAGAATTATTTAAGTCAGTTTAATTTTATACGCTCTCTGGTGTGTAGCTGTTGTGTATATAGTATGCTGTGTATGTGTGCGCGATCTGTCGCGTGCTGTTTTCAATGTTAGTGTTTTCTTGTTTTTGCAGCGAACTTTTTCTTTTGTCTCTCCCCCCCTCATGTAATGCCTCCGGGGGCTTTGAGGGAACAATAAATGAAATGAAATGAAATGAAACCATGCATCCTGGATTCGTGTTAAGATGAATGCAGGAATTACTTAGGAAGTTAGTCCTTTTTTTTTCGTTACATTCAGCTACAAGAGCTATAGTTCTGTGCGAAAATGTGAGGACAGTAGCCCTTCTGCAGGCCAGTTGCACACAACAGATGCCTCTTTTAAAGTCCATATAGGTGACATTCACTTGACGTCACTCGCTAGGTTCGCTGGCATCGCCCACCACGGTCGCCATCTTCGAGGTCTCTTGCTATCGCGAATGCCATCTGGCCGGACCTTTTGAGCGAGGTTTAGCAGTATTTTACAACTTTAAAGGGTCTTTTTGACCGAAACTAGGGGTTATTCTTATACTTTGGTGCTTTTGAAGCGCCGTGGGAGTATTTTTTGTGTGTTTTAGTTCGTTTTCGTAGCTATCGCACTCGTTTACCGCGGCCGCGTTGCTCCCTCGGCTCCATGAAGCGCTCCGTGTCGCCCGCCGTGCCGACGGCGGTAGCTCTTGCAAGAACTAATTTTTCTACTTTGGTGCTTTTGTAGCACGGTGTGATTACTCTTTGTTTTGTTTTGCTAGTTTCTTTATTGTTTTTCTCTAGCGGATTTTCTGTACTACGGCCGTGTAACCGTGTTGCTCCATCGCCGTTGTGTCGTACATACGTCGTGCCTTCGGTGTTCGTTCCTGTGCAGAAACATACCGTGCGGCTCACAGAGTGCGCAGCTTATGAAAAATGCGGCGCATTTTTCATTAGCCCAAGCGATTTAAAAACCGCATGTAAGCGATTTGGCGAGCGGGAAGACAAGCGACGGCGACCCGCTTCGCTGCCGCTCGGTCACTCGCGCGACGAGGCAAACCGCATGAAAGCGACGGGAGCACACGACCAAGGGGATGAGCGCTAAGTTTTCTAGAAATCCCAAAACCGAGCTACGCGACGAGTGACAGTGAAGGGTGAACCGCATGTAAGCGATTTAGCGAGCGACGGAGATTTCTCGCGGTCGGTCGTCGCGTCGCTCGGTTTTTGGATTTCTAGAAAGGGTCGCTTATCGCCTTGGTCGCTCGCTCCCGTCGCTTTCATGCGGTTTGCCACGTCGCGCGAGTGACAGCGAAGCGGGTCGTCGTCGCTTGCCTCGTCGCTGTCGCTCGTCTCGTCCCGTTGCTCGCCAAATTGCTTACATGCGGTTCAGCCTTTACACACAGTACTCGGCGGCAACAAGCAAAACGGCCCGCCCCCGACATCAATTTTTCTTCTCTCTTCTGTTCAACGAAGCTTCAACGATATGAAATTAGCACACACTAGCAGCGGACGACCGCGTAGCGTACCCAAGCTAGAGCACTATATAGCTCCTACGGAGCAGAGTAGCGCAATCCTTTGAACCCCGTGTTTTGCCGACAACATGGCCGACAGAGCGGCTCGGCGCGAGTCACGTGGTACTCAGGGTTCCAGGAGGTGGCCCGCCCTATGGGAGAATACATGGAGATCGACACAACACGGCTGATTAAAAAATGAACGGCGAGTTCACACTTTTCAAAACTAGTCTGTCGTGAAGTTAGTAAAGCACTAAACACTTTATCAAAGTTTTAATAATATCGGATGCGTGTGCAAATTTTGAGAAGGCGATTTCCAAGGCAATGGCGTTTGAAGCAGACGATTTTTGCTCGCAGCGGAGATGGGCTTTTCGGGTTGGCCGGAGCGGGTCACGTGAATGGTGTGACGTCGCCGTGTCGTCTGCTGCATGATGCCGCTCAGGCAATTTTTAAAAAAAAGTCATGTCCTTGCGGGGCACAAAACTTAGCACAAATTATTCTAAAATGTTCCATTATTATGTCAAAAATAATTGCCATTCCGTACAACTCCACAATACTGAAGAAACAACGATTTTCTCACGTTCTCCATGCATTTCTGACCACAGTTGGAACCTCCGGGCGTTCGCCGCTAGTCGCCGAGAGGCGGCGTTCTAGATTGCGCTACTCTGCTCCGAAGGAGCTATAGGACCTTTGTCCGGAAGTGCTCTTTTTAGCCTCGACCGCAAGGAGCAAAAGCGAACAATAATCTCGAACCCAGACGCTCACGGGGAGGGGGGGCTGCGTCGGCCTGCGCCGCCGGTTCCCGTTGAGGGCTTCTTCGCTGGTGTGCCGACTGCCGTTTCGCCGGCATCGGTCCTGTTTACCGCGGTATGTGAGTATAGTGCCCGTAATGTGAGAGCCGTGTGTCCATACGCCACTTTGCCGTTGTTGGTTTTCATCTAGCCGAGCCAGAAAACATCTCGCGACGAGTTGACCGCGCCGCGAGTGACGAAGAAGCAAACATGGCGACGGTTTGTGCGATTGCTTTGGTGGCTCCGGTGTTGAGTGTCTTCAACGTCCTCGTGAGAAGATCCCCCGCCCTTCGAAGTTATCGCAGGCACCACGAGTGGCACGAAAGATGTGGAATCATCGTCTCAACTACAAATAAGCAGGCCTGCACGAGCAACAACGACGTCGAGCAGGCGCTCGGCACAGTTGTGTCGTCAGATGTTCTACAACGCCGAGATATTTTCATTTATCATTTGGAATGGCTTCAAGAGTGGGAAATTAATCTATTTCGCAGATTGTTAACGCCGAGGTGAGTGCCCTCCGTTGCAGTGCCGTTGTCGCGCGAAGTGCAGAGAAAACCGGGTGGCGATGGCGGCGGTGCTCTTTGATCGCTTTGATCTTGCGCCGTCGGGTTCATGGAGTCCGGAGTAAACGTACTGTACGTACGTGCGTCTGCTGGATCGGTGTTTTGGACTGCCACAAAACTCTTTCTCGCGGGCATTTACCTTGTGAAGCTTAGTAGCTCATTACATTTCGTCGTCGACTGCGCTCATTTGACTACGACGGACGAGCCTGCGTGATGTGAATTTCACTGTCTAAGATCCTTGGTGTGCTATAACGAGGGCTAATAAAATATCACCGCGAACTTCTGAACAAACGAGTCGAAGTTTCGTCTGTTATCATAACTGATCGCCTGTCACAATATTAATCAGTAGCGTTCCTAGACTCCGTTCCCACAGGCACCGTGCTTCGTTGCCCGATAGTAAGTGTCTCCTGGTACTTCGTGGAATTCCAGCTCCCACTTCAAGTAAGTACCATCCTTTAGAACTGGCAATTAATAGTTTCGAACCCAGACGCTCGCAGTGTGTGTTTGTGTGTGGGGGGGACGCGTGCTAACATACTCGGAGCCCTCGTTTACGTCGCTTCGCAGCGGCAGACAAGGCGCCACATTACAAAAGAAAGCTAATCCGAGCTGTCTATGTAACTAGACCCATTCGCTACTCATTCGATGAAACGTCGTCGTCTCGTTTTCATTCGCTAAAACGGCGTTCGATCAAGTGAACGCCTCCCACTTATTTCGGCTCGGCAGAGCCGCGCTGCCGCAGAAAGGCAAGCAAATCGCGAAAATCGGTCTCAAACGTGCCACGAATGTAATGTATACAAGAAGCCAACAATCAAGCACTTGAAAGGTACAAGAAAGCGGTAGCGAAATATTTACTACGCAATGAACCCGGACTGAAACGCGGATGTCAAGGGTCAGCAGACACCGAGAACATTTAAGACAAGAAAGGTTTTCTCTTGTTTTCTTGATCGAGATGGGTTCTCGAATGTTCACGACATCTTATCTGTTGAAGAACGGGTCGCGGAGGCTTCTCGTGAAGACATATCGTTCACGATGTGTCGGTGCATTCGGACAGCCTGCCGCATCCAGCTCCCCAAAGCAACGCAGCCGACGCAGCCCCCCCCTCCTGCCTGCCAGTTCTCTCCGCGTGGTGGCGCGAGCGTAGATAAACATGGCGGCGCCCTGGAATTGGCGCGGACACTGGTCTATAGCTCCTTCGGAGCAGAGTAGCGCAATCTAGAACGCCGCCTCTCGGCGACTAGCGGCGAACGCCCGGAGGTTCCAACTGTGGTCAGAAATGCATGGAGAACGTGAGAAAATCGTTGTTTCTTCAGTATTGTGGAGTTGTACGGAATGGCAATTATTTTTGACATAATAATGGAACATTTTAGAATAATTTGTGCTAAGTTTTGTGCCCCGCAAGGACATGACTTTTTTTTAAAAATTGCCTGAGCGGCATCATGCAGCAGACGACACGGCGACGTCACACCATTCACGTGACCGGCTCCGGCCAACCCGAAAAGCCCATCTCCGCTGCGAGCAAAAATCGTCTGCTTCAAACGCCATTGCCTTGGAAATCGCCTTCTCAAAATTTGCACACGCATCCGATATTATTAAAACTTTGATAAAGTGTTTAGTGCTTTACTAACTTCACGACAGACTCGTTTTGAAAAGTGTGAACTCGCCGTTCATTTTTTAATCAGCCGTGTTGTGTCGATCTCCATGTATTCTCCCATAGGGCGGGCCACCTCCTGGAACCCTGAGTACCACGTGACTCGCGCCGAGCCGCTCTGTCGGCCATGTTGTCGGCAAAACACGGGGTTCAAAGGATTGCGCTACTCTGCTCCGTAGGAGCTATATAGTGCTCTAACCCAAGCCAGTCAAACCGAGACCTCGAAGATGGCGGATCGACGGTGGCGCTCCCTGGCAAAATCGAACCTGCAGGCTCAGTGAATACCACCTATACCCTTAGCCATTTATATATAAAAAGAATTTAACGCTTCAAACTCTGCAGCATGCTGGCAACCTCGGGAGATCGAACCAAGGATGACCAGTCTATGTTTTATATGAATTAATTATTTTTCTATGTCATCCCAAGTTTATGATAAAAAGTCAACAAATATGTTCTGTCATAATTTTTTTAATTATATACTATCAAACACCACGAACTAATTCTGCTTTCATTTATGGTAATGTTATAGAACATCGTGCTCATGAGGTTTGAGCAAATTGAAAATTCCGACTGGGCAAATGTGAATTAACCTACAATTAAATTGCCTTTATGTACAAAACAAGACATGCAAAATTAAACACTTTTCTACAATATGCTCAAATTAGTAGATTTAGTGTGTAGTTGGCAATATAGCTACTCTCTTAGCTTTTAATAACCTAAATGGAACAAAAATGGATAGAGACATATGCTAAACTGATAATACAGGAAGCTGTTAATTTACATCACAAACTGCTCCATGGATTGACTTAAAAAAGGGGGTCAGTGTGCTTTCAATGTGAATGAATGCTCAAATAATAAAACAGCTGACGCAAATTTCAGAATGATAAACTTTCTTAAATGGCATCAAAAAGTTTATTTATTCAGTGCTCCCCCCGTGTTAACGAGTAAATATATCCGGAAACTGTATGCGCGCGCTCTCAAAGCGTTTTGTAGCATCGTGTGCGCTCCATCTTGCGCACTGAAAAACGTAAATTATCTTTTCCTATATTTTGTTGTTGTTGTTTTTCTTTTGTCGCCAACGGTTTGGTTGTTCGGCGCCAAAGCCGGCTCGAAGCTTTCTCGACGCGCGCTCTCAAAGCGGCCCTTCTCTGTAGCATCGTGTGCGGTCCATCTTGCGCGTCGGAAAACGCAAATTCTCTTTTCCTTTTTTTTTTTTTTTGTGTGTGTGTGTGTGTCGTCGGGTTGATTTTGGCTTGGCGCCAAAGTCGGCTCGAAAAACGTTTTTTTTTTTTTTTTTTTTTTTTTGTGTGTGTGTGCGCGATTTTCTGGGGACGTGACGTTTAGTTACGCTGCTCTTGGAAGCATGTATCTGGACACGCGTTTCAAGCGCAGACGGCATCAGACCATCCGTGAGTGCTTTGGACAATAACAGGAAGTTTAATTTTAACCGTTTTTTCTGTCCTTTTTTTAATCCAATCATTCGGATAATTCGACCAAATTTCAAGGTCCCGTCGAGGTCGAATTAACAAAAGTTTACTGTAGTAAAAAATTTAATTCCGGCAAAAAAAAAAAAAAAGTGTAAGCTCACTTGTTGTAAACATCGGGCGATTATATTTGAACATAGATTAAATTAAGAATCTTCACCAGTACTCGCCCCGGTTTATGTCATCGGCGATCATCCTGTTGGTCTTCAATATAAACGTCCGCAGTTCTCTCGAGCGAACAGGCTCAGTGGTGCTTTTGTGGAAATAAATGTAGACTTTCCTAGCTTTAATTTCCTTATCTTAGCCTCGGTCATGCAGTTAACATCTAAAAGCTTTTAACTGCATGATGACCCAGCTAAAGAAACTCATAAACCCACAAATTTACCTAAACAAAAAAGCACAGCACAAGAGAATAATTGCCAATAAGGCTTGGGTACAGAAGTATTAACCGGAGTGACCTCAGTAATAAATCTTAGGTGAAGTTAATGAGGCAGTTCAAAGCCCTATTCAGACAGGGCAGGACCCTCCAGCACTAACGAGTTAAACGAGTTCCAACCCTTTTCTATGCCACGAGAGTCTGGGCCAAAAGGGCGGAGACTCACTCGAACGGCGCCTTCCCACAGATGTTTCCCTGGCTGTCCGTGGGATAGATGAGCCTCTCGGGATTCCCATTTCTGTAGGCTGAAACGAGAATGAAAAGTTGGGCAAACATGTGAATGTTGTGAGACATGTGCATGGTTTACACGTGACCCGTGTGCAAGAAAATGTCATTTAGACGCCCGCAAACCTGGCCTGGCTGTGCCTGAAGTGTAGAAGTTTATGATATGCATGCAATCAGGAGTCCCGCCAAAACATTTGGGTAATACCTTTTGTCCACCGCAGGTACCGACATCTTTAGCTCTAATCTTGATCGCGCAATCATTAAAGGGCCTCTGACACGCCAAAAAAATTCAAAGTGCCCGCCAGTGCCCTGTGACGTAACAGTGTACCGCAAGGTGTCGGGGCGGTCAGAAGGGAGGCATCGACCTACGTCACTAAAAGCAGGTTTGCCGGAAGCCACGTGAGTTTCACTCCTAGTGCTCTCCAAAACCGTGCCTAAGACTTTTTGTTTCTCTGGTTTTCTTTACGAGCGATTGTAGAAAACGGAGTTTCAGTTCCACTAGCTTTTTATCGTTACACCGTTGGTTAGTTTGCGTGCTGAAAAAGTTGAGGACGAAGAGCCAGTGGATCGACGTGATGGAGCTCAATGATGAACGCGTTGCGAGTACAAGCCAGTGTACGAGACTAGGAGTGCATGTCATCAGTCCGATGGTACAGAGCCATACTGAACACAAAACGAGCTATCAAGTTAAAAAAAAAAAAAATTAGAACGCTTTTGGAAATTGGATTGCCAGCATACGACACACTCGATCGCATTGCTGAAGGTTCAGACACCGATGTCGTCAAATCATCGGATACTCTCCAGGCTGAAGATGCCTGCCCATGGGCGTACCAACCGGGGGGACAAGGGGGGCGCTTGCTCCCCCAGTTCTCAGAGTGGGGGGCAAGGCATGTGTTTCGCCCCCCACCCCCACCCCTGAAACAGCCGTCAATGGGCAGGGCAAACACTGACCGGCGGCGACCAAGGGATACCAATTGGGCATCGCCCCCCGGCCCTGGGGGGGAAGGGGGGGGGGGGCGGTCGGGTCGGGTTTGGTTTGCCCCCCCCCCCCCCCCCCCCCCCACACACACACTCAAAAACAAGTTCGTACGCCGCTGTGCCTGCCGCCTCAAGAATACGAACTGATAAGTGTACCAAGTACAAGTAAACGTTGAGAATAATTAGTACGTGTTTTGTCTAGAACATGTGTAGATGGGGTGACCACCCGTCCCGCGATTCGCGGGACTGTCCCGCATTTAGGGCTCGTGTTCCGCGAGAAATTCCGAAATCTTCAACATGTCCCGCATTTCACACTGTCGTAAAATTTACTCTGCGACTTATGGTACTGCCCATCAACGGGGCACGGGGAAGCACCGAGGTCACTGGTAATCATGTGAATCGCAGAGGTGAGCCATTTTCTATCCAAGCATTGCGGGAAGCGACCGTGGTTCTTGCAGGAGAGCCGACGCGCATGCACCGTTGTGCCTCTCCCTTTGGTGAAAAACTACCGTAAGAAAAATTTCTCATCAAAAGTTTAAATATAAAATATTATAATTATTTTCAAATTGCTATGTCAATGCGAAAGGGTTGCTGTGGATTTTGTTTTTAGTAAAAACAGCCAAACTCGCAACGATCGAAAAAGGTCATAATGTTAAAAAAATTTTGTAGGACCATGTTGGTAAAAGTAAGCGTTGATAGAAAACAATGACCCGAAAAAGACTTACTGTTTATTATTTCCACTTGATGCATTCAGTTATTAACAGTCAATTTTTATGTCCTGAATTTCGACACATTTATAACATGTTTGGCACGAAAAATATCACTGGTAGTGGAAATTATTTGAGCTTAATTGCCGCAATACAATTAGCAGGTGTATAAGCAGTACAGGATAATAAATGGGTTAGCAAAGCCTCGGTTCTTTGTGTGCGTGTTCGTAAATTTCCCCTACCCCCTATCCCCCTATCCCCCACCCCCTACCCCCCCCCCCCCCCCCCGCCCCCGCCGCGCGTGTCCCGCATTTCGCTAACAGGAAGGTGGTCACCATATGTGTAGAACTTGTTTACTAGGTTCACTGACTCCTCTTCTTCTACCTTCTTAAATTCACTCTATATGTCTCCATTACCACATCTTCTGCCCTTCGCTGATAACCATGCATCATTGTAACAATGCAGAATGTGAGAAAACAACTAACAAAAGTTGTAGAAAGCAATTAAAAGGTTAAAGAATGAAGTAATGTGCCACCTAACGTTTTTACAAAGAAAAAACTAATAGTGCAAGCACAGAATAAATCATTTTCCAGATAATTCATCAAAACACGAAAAATAGTACTACTAGATAATTAAAAAAGCAAGTGAAAGAGACTGACGGGTAAAAAAAAAAAAACAGAAGTATAATACACATTGTTTAGCCCTTACCATTGAAGGCATTCTCTCTCTATCTTTTGACCCAGACGGGGATTCTAGAATTCTTATTCAATGACCTCACTCCAGTTTTTCACATGTTTCAAACCTAGCAACATGCAGCTGCCCAAAAAAAGAAAGACATCACAACGAACAGAGAAGTAAAGACTAAACACGAGATTGACGCGAACAAACAGATTGACACAAAAACAGCACAAATAAAAAATCTTTCCTTTTATGAAAAGAGAAGGGTTAATCATTTGAGAGCCTCTTTGCGCCACTCACCAAAAAAGGCCACAATGCCCCAGCCGACGAGGAAGAATACAAACAGGAACAGGCAGATGATGTCCGTGCAACTCCTGCATTCACAGAGCGCAGCTGCTTGATTACTCGCAGTTACGGACCAGCCGACACGGGGAAAAGCCGTTAATCGTGGCGGCACGTCGGGCCGTCACTTTCGCTGCGACAACTTACACGTAATGCTGCACGCATAAAGTGTCAGTCAAAAGCGGCGTCTATACCCCGAGCACAGAACCAACGTAAAGAACAACGCAGCTAATTTGGAAATAACTAGACATGTTTACAAATGTAATAAGTACGATGCACTCTGGTCGGGAACGGAAATACTATACACAGAGATTATTTTGGGAAAGGTGTAAAAGAGACAATCCCAGATGACTATTAACATTTCCCAAACTTGGGAATTCCGCAAATTGGGTTCATCTATATACAGCGCCCTTGTATAGATTAACTCAGTTTTCAGTGAAAGTGGAGTGGACGCTCCCCCTGAATTTTACGGTAGTCACGCAACCTTACAGCTTGCGAGTATTTATGAGGGATTTTTAGAGCCTTAGTTATGTGTGTGTGTGTATGTGAGGTGTGCAGATGGTTTTAAGAAAGACGCAGTTCAAATTTTCCCCTTGAAGCTTTTCTTAGTCAAGACTCCTCCGTACAAGAATGAGGTTTATTTTATTTTTACCAGCTCATTTTAAGGTGTGTTCTCCGTCTTTTGTGTATTTACTTGGAGGATTGGTGACCTCATGAGATGAAAGCCAAAGACCCCTTAAGTACAATTTATCTGGTCACAAAGGTTGTTTGTGTTCTCTTTTGAGCTGCAAGTGTGGTTTTTACACGTGAGCTTCAAAACGGGATATTCTGCAGTCTGGTGGCGTTGCGGTGGTGTGTATAACGGGTGTGTTTCAATAAATAAGACACTTGCTGTGCATATTTCTTTTTCAGCCACTGTAAACGCTTTTGCTTCTTCTGCCCCAGTCCCGGTTTAATTTCACAATGTTATATTTCCACCAGCTCACGGACACGCTAATTGCACTTTCGGCAGTCTATACTCCATTTCACTTCATGGTGAGCTACAGCGAGAGCTACCAGACATCCTAGCCAATCCAGCGCTCCGAACACGTCACGTGACTACTCTTGCCATGTGCAACCGTGTGCCCCTCCTAAAGGGCACGTGACACCCGCAAGGCACCCGGTTGGATTCGACGACTCAAGATTACAAAAAGGAGACACAGAAGTTCTAAACGGCTTGAACTCTGCCGAGCCGTAGCTTCACGAGAATGCACCGATTGTGCCATGGCTAGGCCGAAGGTGTGATTATAGTATTGCCTTTTTGTTTTTCTCAGTTTTTCTTGCAGAACTAAAAATTGCCAGAAAATGTCAGAATGCTAGAATGTGATCATATGCAAAACAAACATGGGAGGCAATGCTTGGTATTGAGATACAGAGAACTTCTAAGGCGCGCAAATAAACTTTACGAAGTATGTTGTGTTTCAGCTAACTGTGTCACCGATTTAACAAACCATGAAATTGATCTTTCGAAGAAGGGCACTGTGTGAACATATTTTTTGGCGGCTCATAGTCTCACGTTTTTTGTCGGATACTAGCCACTAGCTTTAGGAGAGTGCTCATGCATGCATGACCTCGCAAACAAAAAGAGTGACTTGCCTGTTCTTGAGTGGTCCCTTGAATTCTGGATCGAATTTGTGTGGCTCTCCTGTGGACATAGAAAAGAATAATACAGTTTTAGAAACGCAATGCAAATATTCTGCCCCATCTGTGGAAGGACTTTCTGCGTACACTATACAATGGACAATGTTTAAGATGTTTGTCCCATTTGTGAAAACAACTAGCCAAAAAGCTTTGTAAATATGTTCACAATATTTGATGTCATAAAAAATATTTCCGAATCCCATTGCAAAATAATTTTAGAGTTACGGTAAATGGTGAAACTTGTATTCCAGCTGGCTCCTGGCCAGGAAAGTTGAAATGCATACTTTTCCTGGCACATATGAGAGTCGATAATTTTGTACAGAAAAATACTGCTACGAGCATACTCTGAAGTTCACGGTGAACTAAAAATAATAAAGTCATTAGTATAATTAAAATGGGCTTTACCCTTGTAGGCAAACAGTTTAAACAGTTTAAACTTGAGACTAGCAAGCAGTATAATAATGTTATGCTAAACCAAAGGACCTGCTAGGCAGAACTGCCTTTTTCCTCTGCTGGCCTTCTCGCAGAAATAAAATGTAATTTTACAGTCAAGTATCTGCAAGGAGTTATCTTGAACATGTTTAATATACATATACAAAGTAGTTTCTTGAATGGAAATAATAAATATTGAGATCTTGAGAGAGGAAAAAAAAGTGTGTGTGTATACATATATGTTACTGGAGCTCCTATATTACATGCAGCTGAATGGCGCCATGTACTCACTGAAAACGGCCGAAAACGAGCCGCATTCTCATTGAAATATTCAGAACGGTCAGTTCTGAAACTTTGACATCTGCTAGGACCCCATTTGGGCGGAGAATGAGCGATAGCTATGCGGAATGCAAGTTCGTCTGCTACTTTTGCAGGGGTAGTGGTGACGTCAGAGTGCTGAGCTCTTAGACCTCAAGGCAGCTTGCTTTGAAGCCTACCCGCTATACTTCAATCCGAGCCAGTCAGAACTCGGCGTCTATCTGACCTGTGCAAGAAGCAGACGACTTGCTGTCCGCATTCATTGCGATCGATGGGAGCATCGTTCGCACAAAAACCAGCAATTCTTCGTTTAGGCATGTGCAAATAGTGGATTTCGGGATCGAAGTCAATTCCAAGTGAATACCGAGTAGTTTTGGCCGAATATTCTTTAAGCACATACTGAATAGTTGCTGTGCCTTTTTCCACACCTTTCACTAAACGAAAATTCAGCTGAATTCACCAAGGTTGTTTCCAAGCTTCTAAATGCCCACTTATGAGCTCTGTTAAATTTAATCTCGCAGAAAGGCCACAGAAATTCCAATACCTACATTGGGATGGCAAGGAAATGACGGATTTGACATAAAATTAGACCTCTAAATAGGCCGTACACTTTCCGGTTTTGACCGAAAAACACGGAAAAACATTCGCCGGTGTCGAAAAAAAAAATCGGTTAAATCCGAAAAATACCGGTTTTTAAATACTTTCGTACAAGCGGCAGCCTTTTTTTTTTTCTTTTTTTTCACCAAAAAAGTATTTTGCAGACGGTCGTCACACTCGGTTTTTTCTTTTTCTTTTTTTCCCTTTTTATTTACAGTCGTCGTTTTCGGTTGACCGTCAGCATGTCTCTCAAGAGAGTGGTCTGAAAGCTCTTAATTATCACTCTGTTTTTTTTTGTTTTTTTTTTTTTTCAGTGCTGGTATTTTGATCTTTAGTTTATCCCCCAAAGTTTGACCTCATTGTGCCCTTCTGTAGATTGCCCCCTTGAAAGTTGCCCTCCTTCTTTGTGGACCTATAGTTGGGTGGTTTGGAGTGTCTTTCATATTGTTTGGGTGAAAGCAGCCCCAAAAGCGCAAGTCACTGTGCATTTTCTGCTTATGATTAGTTCAGCGATGATAGAACATGTACAGAAACACGAGGACACCATGATGGTGCGCTTTTCATGCTGTCTGATAGGTCATGGAAAAATATTTGACTCCAACCAAAAATTAAACTCGGACCCAACGTTCTGGGTTTGAAACGTTGGGTCCAAGTTTAATTTTTGGTTGGAGTCAAATATTTTTCCATTATAACTTCCCATCCAGACAGACGTCTGTCGAAGATGTTTACCTTCATGTCTGATAGGTGCCATCAGCATATATAACAATAATAAAGCGTGAAAAACATGGTTTTTCAGGTGTAAAATAAAAGTTGAATTGTTGCTCCACTTGATTGTTTCTATTCGAGATTTCTCCCCTCGATAAAAGCCGTTTTAAGAGTCTGCACGAGACAATTCACCGGTATTTTAGAAATAAATAAATACCGAAAAACATCCGCCGAATTTTGAAATAAATAAACGCCAGGAAGTATACGGCCTATCTATAAAGGAGCCCAGTCGTAGCTAATTGAGGGGATTTATAAATATTCTTGCTATATGCAAATATTTGCTTCGATTCTGAATTAAAAAGAAAAAAAAAAGCACGAGTAATGAGTACAGGATGTTAGAACATCGCTGCCTAACATATACCTTGGCATAATAGCCACGGTTAAATTTGGAAGATTTGGCTGCAATGTAAATATCAACAATTACAACGTTTCCTGTTCCTTTATTATTATTATTATTTTAAGACACCAGGCGCGTGCGTGCGTAGACCTCTTTGAAAGTGTGTTTTTCGCCTAAACACGCTGCTCAACTGCGGCGAAGTGAGTCGAAAGATCGCGGTGTCAGTTTCGCAGTTATAGCTTCTCCGCAGTGCCTCGGTGCTTGAAGTTAAACGCACACAATGGGGATAACACGCCGCGATTAACATTTCGCCAGGGGGGTAAAGGTGGGTGAGGAGGAGTGGCAAATCCCGTGCGCCGACACCCGGGGTCCCGAGTGAAAGATCGCAAAAGAGAGCGACAGAACACGAGTGAAAGAAAGCAACGTTGCCAGCTGAAGGACGGCAGTCGCAATGGTAAACGCGAAGAGTGAAGCATGTAAACGGAGCGAAATCATTTTCTTTCGTTTTATCACTGTATTAGGGGGTGTACGCTCGTCAGTGACCCCGTGTCTTTCTTGCAGCTTAGGAGCATAAAATAAAACGTTTTTTTTTTTTGTGCTCCCTCTGTATTAAAATCAGGTAGGACACGACGGCGCAGTGGCAATGGCACTCGAAAGCGGCGAGCGGTAATGTTACGTGATCAGGTGACGTGGTTCAAGATTGGAATTTACTTGCATTGCCGGGTAAATCCGCTTCATTTCCCTCTCGGGGGGCGTTTTATTTGCTGTCGTTTGACCCGCGCAGCTCGAGAGCACGCTACTAGGCGATTCGTGGCAGCTACGTTACGAGCCGGCAAAAATTCATATATATTGTTTTCTTTTTTTCTTTTCAATTCAAATAATAATGTTTTGGATCAGATGGATGCTTTGACTCTGATGGATGTTCTGACTCGATCGATGTTTTGACTCAGATGTGTGTTTAGACTCTGACGGATTTTCTGACTCGATGGATGTTCTGACTCGATGGATGTTTAGGTACGGATGGATGTTCTGACTCGATGGATGTTTTGACTCAGATGCATGTTTCGACTCCGATGGATTTTCTGACTCGATGGATGTTTTGACTCGATGGATGTTTAGGTACGGATGGATGTTCTGACTCGATGGATGTTTTGACTCAGATGTATGTTTCGACTCCGATTGATTTTCTGACTCGATGGATGTTTAGACATTAATGGATGTTCTGACTCGATGGATGTTTTGACTCAATGGGCGCGTTCAGTAGCGCCTCCCTTGCCTCCGAACGGTGTGCCTCGAGTTGGAGTCATCGGAGCGCCTACTGAACGGCAAAAAAACCCGCGGCTCCAAACCTGCTTCTACGCAACTTCCGCTTCCTCCCCTGTGCCAGACGGTCTCCGAATAAACTGGAAGCAGACGATGGCGAGCACGATCGCTTTTATTTGACGCCGGTATTGAAGAAGTCTTGACAAGGTCGTTGAAGAAAAAGAGGGTGATTGTACATCAGCGCTGCTGTTCGAAGCGATGCAAAGCGATCGAGCCCTTCGCCGCCTTCGCTTGGCGGTGCAAAGGCAGCTACTGTTATAAAAGCCGACAAAAAACGTCGTCAGTACACGCAAAATACAGAGCTCAGCGAATCTACCCCGCCGGTTGCGATACTTTTATACGGCCATACGTTTGTTCTGCCCCTCGTAACGAACTTCCTATAAAATGTATTCGTATACACACGGGAAGTTCGGCCGCGCTCGGCGATCAAGGTTTTGTCGGCCGAAGCGAGCCTCAGTCAACGTGCACCCCGATTTAGCTACGCTAACAAAACATTAATCGGTATCATGCTCTGCGTGAGTGTCCAACCGGCTTCCAAAGTCGCGTTCATACCCCGTTTTGCTCTGTTGAGCGCGGACAGGACTATCGTCAATATTACCGAGTTTCCGTGCAACGGCGATCAAGACACGGCGTCAAATGAAAGTTTGCGTTGTTTATTAGCATATTCAAACCAAACAAAATACGGTCCAATGCATTTTCCGAAAGAGCCTTACCTGAAAAAGATATTCGAACGCGTTATTCGTCTTACCTTGACCACTTTTCATTAACAAAAGCGAGCAAACCGCGCACCCGCGACAAAACCGAAGCAGCTTATCCCGCCATATTGTTTGTTTTTTCCTCTTTTAGCGCCGGAAATCGTCACCAGTCAGGAAATGACGTCATTTTAGCTTCTTTGACTCTACGTGCACCGTCTCCGGACTCGGTGCTTCGGAGCTTGACTCCGAAGCCCCGGAGTTACGTGCACCGGAAGTGACTTTTGGCCGTCCAGTGGAAGGAGTCAGTGACTCCTTGACTCCGGGGCCGCTACTGAACGCGCTCGACCCGGATGGATGTCTTGACTCGTAGGATATTCTGACTCTGGTGTCACGTGACCTCTTGGATGTTTTGACTCGATGGATGTTCTGACCATAAGCGGTTCCACTACAGTGTACTAGAATTCTATAAACTGTAGTTCCACCGTCCGCAGCGGGGCTTGGAGAGCTCTCTCAAAGGAGCGGCGATGCGCAAAGGGA